TTTAAAATAAATCCTAGAACAATATCCTGTCAATCTGCCCACAGTTATTTCAGATGATTCATCAACAGAGTGATCATATTTGTATTACATGTTAGGTACCAGATTTTAAATCAGAATAGATATAACAAGAATGAAATGTATTCATTTCCCAATAGTGCTCTACAAACCACTATGAGAACAGCCCCTTCAGTTAAAGGGGTCCTGAGGTTGTTTCCATTATTATTCCAGCAAATGAACCCACTGTCCTTCAGGATGCAGGAACATGTGTTGGATACTTACCACCCATTTCCAAAACTTTGCATTTCTGGTTCCCCATGTTTAAAAAATAAAAGCACACAGCCCTTAAGTCTTGGCAAGGAACATGCGCAAAGAGCCTGTATTTTATTAGCGGAATCTTTGGAGATTTGAGAGCATGTGCAGGCAGTAGAAAAATGTAAACTGTGCACATCTGTACACTAGAAACTGATAAATGCCATGATTTTATTCAGGAATTTAAGTCTGCAGTTTATCTGTAACCTGCAACATAAATATAGATCTACAGTTTATTAATCAAATGTAGTCCTGCAGTTTATCTGGGGCTTGATCAGTTCCTAAATCACGCATTGTACATTCTTACGTTGCCTGCATGTTCTTTTCCCATTGGGGCACTATTGGAGTTAGCAGGTACAAAGCCACATTCTTAGCCCGCTCAGTCTGGTCCATGTTAGGTGACTAAAATCAGGAAAAATAGGAGTGTTGTACAGCATTCTTGTATATTACACATTAGTAACATTAGATTATTTACTCACTGATCTGTGATGTTGTTGACATAATTTTCTATTTGCGCTGGAATTCCTTGTAGAATTGAGTTTTTGAATGTTACTCGATCAACAACTTTTCCATGATGTCCATCAATCACAACCAGTTGAATACCCTCATCAGTCAGGAAAAACCTTATACCGTCAACCTATGTAGGGGGAAAAATAAGCTTTATTTGTCAAAGCAACACTAATACAAAACAATCAACTACAAGGAGCACTAATAGTGTTGAATAACACTGGACTGCTCTTTATATCAAAGTGCAGAATTCCAGATCCCTGAGGTTAAACTACTGCATTTTTGCTAGTACAGTGAATTTATGGCCATTTTTTTGCAAAGTACAAAGCAAAAGAGTCCCAAAGCTAATCATCCACGGTTAACTTCGTAAGTGTTCCATAATAATGAAGCACGTATTTTATCTCATAAGTCTTACAAAGTTCACTGAGAGAACTTGCTTACCTCAATGTATGCAAAGTCATCCTTTAGGTGGAAGTACTGCTTCTTATAAGTTTCTATTTTCACTTCTAGTAAGTGGTCCTTAGTCTTCTGTTTACAAGAAAAAGGAGAGAAAACAGTTTCTACTGAGGTTATCCATTACCTGAATGCTGCACTGTCAGAAAGCCTTTTAAACCTAGAAATTCAGTCAGCAAGAAAGCTACATAATAAGTTGTGACTGGCCAAATTGCACTGCTAATGAGACTGGGCACAATGGTAACCTCTCTGCGCAGCCTGTCAGCATTTAAAGTGTTTCACTGAATGGCAAAGCTTAAGTGATTCTCACTCTGCAAACTCCACAGAGTTGACATAATTCTCTGAGGCTTTGCTTTGCATTCCTGCTCCAAGGGAGATGAGTGAAAAAGAAAACAAAAACCAAGAACCAAATAAATATCCCCTTCTCTGCCCTAGAACTAGACTGCGTTGGATCCAGGAGATAAAGTGCTGTGCAAAATCCTTTATATGAGTGATATACTCAGCTATGCAGCCCCCTTTCTGACACTGCTGTTCTTGTAGTCTGGAGGAGCTGGAGGCCAGGCAAGATGCCTTGCATCTGTCCAGATGCAGATTCCCTGGACCAGCCTGTCTTCCAGTTCATTACTTTTGACCCTGCACTTCTAAGCCTAGCACTTCACAATAAAGCCCTGAAAGACTGTATTTAACTTCAACGGAAGTCTTGGGCAGCTCTATCCCTTGAAGACCTATGCTTTCTGCACTTGCAAGAATCTGTTTTGTATTGTTTTCCATGCCTGGACCGTTTCAGAAAATTAGGCACAGGAGATACTGAATCTGGTACAAAGTCTTTCTGTGACTATGGGAACAATGCGTACCAGAACTACAGACTTACAATGACAATAATACTGCAATAATAAATCAACTACTTTACCAGTTGTCCACTAGATAGCTTCTTAGGCATTGGGACGTCTACAATTGGTGTCTCAATGTACTTGGGATAGGCCATGGCTTCACAGTCACTGATGCCAGCAGTCTTTGGAATCACAGCTTTGATTCTTATTCGTTCACAGCCTTTGACAGAGCAGAAAGCAAATTTCTCCTTCTCGTTTTGAGCTTTAAGTTTCAGAAACAGCAGTCTGCGGGTAGGGGAGAAGAGTAAACATCCCTGAGTGTTCTTATCAGTCCAAATGACTTATTCCTAGGCTCAGTGGATTGCTGCTTACCACTTTGCAATAATGTGTGTTGCAAACCCCCAGTGCTGATGCCGGTAATTTCTACCGCTTAGCATACTACAGGCAAGGGCACAGACACCCATCTCAGAAATGGTTAGGAAGGTCAGGCAACTTGAGACAGAGAGATCAGACAGCACCTGAACTCCTTTAGAGCTCTATTGTGTTATAATACTTTTACACAGAGATACCTCGATTGTTTATTATAGATCTTTCTCTTTCCTTACCATTATTTTAATTCCTTAGAGGAAACTAACAGATTTAACTCTCTTAGTTCCTGTGAATCTCTGCCTTGTTGCTCATAAAAGGTTGCTGTTCCAAACAAAAAGGGTTGGGTGTGTTTCCCCTTCAGCTTCACGCTCTATGATCTGCACTTCGCTTTTGTTTTTTTCTTAATTTGTATTCACTTGGCACAGCATTTCCCAGAGTAATTGGCAGTGCAGCAGAGCCTATGAATGACTGGCAGCCCTGGGAGTCCCAGGAAAATTAAATGCTGATCACATTCCCAGAAAGAATCTCTGGTTTTGTTGTGATCGCCTTTAAAGGCATGAACTAAACAATTCATGCTTCCAACAGCTTTCTCATATCAGTGTCCAAATCAGCAAGGCCTATTTCCTTACCCAGTGTCCTCATCCCAGTAGTAGTATCCTTTGCTAGGATATCTGTGCTCTAGTTTCTCCATCTGAGAAGTTCTATAGAATGTTCCAGTTTTGTATGTTTTCTTCAAAAGACGATTATGGATGTCTGAGAGAATGGAAAAAGTTGTCCCTTTAGGATAACAAAACCCTACTTGGATCCAGTCGTTCCTAAAATTGCAAAGACCCACATTAGAACAAGTTGACACAGGACTAATATTTTCCTGGGCATGCTAGAAGCCAAACTAAATAATTTACTCTGTAACTTAATTTTTTCCTAGCTGGTTAAAATTTTAATGGTTTGGGATGAATCAGCGCAACGTAAGTTAGACATAACATTCACAGGTTAGTTAAGTGATTTGGATCAAATCTGCTCCTGACTTCTACACCTCTGACTTCCACGTATCTAGAATGAACTAGCTCTAGGCTTCTAAAAATGAACCACGTTATCTTCCAGGGCTTCTCCGGGGAGGAAACAGGAATCTGAGATGTTGCATGGAAGGACGGTGAACTCAACGGACTTCATGAAACAAGTACGTTAATTCTGGAAGAGCTCATGAGGTGATAACCTCACCAGTTAAAAATGTGCAGTTACACCAGTGGGCTGAAATGTTCTGTTCATAGTTTCAAATTCAGTCCATTCACTCACTTGTTGAAGTTGATGAGCCATATGGTCAGTTCTTCGGGGGCTATCTTGTCCCAGTGGATGGTGTAGCCTTTCCTCAGAGTTATAACTGGCTGATACTGCTGGTAATGGGTGCTTTTGCTCAAAGCCCCTTCCAGATAGAGCGGTTGACTATGGTAGTCATTTTTTATTATTTTCATTTTCAGGTTGGCTGGCTTGTAGGCTTGGATGTAGATCTAGATTAAACAAAGGATCACATATGATTTAGTGGATTACAGTAAAGTATTAAAGGCCTAGCTACTCAATAGGTGTGAACTGGTAGGAGGCCTCTGACTTCAGCAGTGGCATGTATGCCTGACAGGAGTCTGGCCATATACTTACACCTGTATATTCAGTTACTTAGTATTCTTTTTCAACAAGGAAAACTGTTTTCAGGAAGAAAATGGATCATCTCCTCGTGCACTGAGTTGAAGAGCATGTGCCAGTTATGGCCTCAAATAGGCCTACAGTATTTCACAGTGTTGGTGGCAACCCTCAGCAGACGGACAATATCTACCTCAGACATCTGACTTCTACATAAACACGGAACTTCCTGTCTAGATTTCACAAGTAGGAAAACCAGCTCAGTGGTTACAAATTGGCTTCAGTTGTACTACTCTGAAAAAGCACTTGCAGCCTCTGAGACAAAAAAGGCGCTACTCATCAGAGAGAAGTAAGGACTCTCAAGGCAGCGGCACTAGGCGCTCATGTGGTAGGAAGAATGGTTTGGTGGTTAAACAACGGGATGAAAGATCACGGGAACTGAAGTCTAATTTTGATTCCTCAGCATACTTCCCATAACACTGTGGAGCGCTTCCCTCCATAAAATGAGGGAAAATTACACTGCCCTACCCTATAGCCTGTAGATTTATGAATAACGTCTATAGAGTTCTTAGAGATCTTCAGGTAGAAGTTGTTGCAATTGTTAACAGTCCAGTCCAAAATATCTGAAAACATACAACAGTATCTCCAGGTGACCCCTGTGCTCAAAATCATGGGTGCAGACACGCAGTTAAACCCTGAGCACCCTGAAAAAAAGCACATTTCTAAAGTTCAAGCTTTACAGTGCCAATATTTAAAATAAGTATTAAGCTATGACAATACCGAAATGTAAGCAGTTTTACCTGTGCATAGTGTCCACTGCAGATAGACCCTCTCCAGTCAGGCACATCAATGCAATCAGGGTGTTTGATTAACCAGTTATCTTCTTTTATAAGGTATGAGCCTGGATATTCAGACACAGAACCATCTACATCATGAAAAACTGATGTTTTGTCACCATCCATATCCAGATCATTGAACCAGGGTCCAGGTTCTCCAAAGAAGACCCTTGAGGTAATCTAAGCAAAACAGCGAAACATATTTGCATCTCCAACAAGGAATTTATCACTTATGGTACAAAGCAAAGGATAACTACAGTCATAAAAATATCTTCAAAGGACCCATTTTTTGACTTCAGTTGGCATTGGAGAGTACATTGGCCAAGAAGCAGCATTGAGTTTGTGGGTCCACTTGTGCATGAAGAAATCTATGTATGCATTAATATCATCATTCTTTAAACGGCCACAGATTTTGGTTGCTCAGCTTGAGACATTGTAGGCCTGATGTCTAAAGGTTCTGAGACCCCCATGACTCCAGATGAAGTCAGGAGGGCTGCAGGTGCTTTGGAATAACATTTACATGATAATAAAACTGTGAGCTTCTGAAAGTGAGCATCCAAAGATGGATGCACCAAAATCATTTTCAACAGAGTTAGTCTTGGCAGTTGGTAGGAACATCAGTGTCATTTGGAACAGGAATACTAGGATTGTCTCTCCTTTAGCTGCACACTGCCTCTTCATAAAGCCAGAAGTCAAAGCAGAGTTGGGTCATGCACTTAAAAGATCTGGCTGATTTGTCAGACAACCAGAATGTCAGCCTCGGGTCCGAGAAGATTTGTTTTAAAATTCTGGAGAAAGGTTCAGGAGACAAGGCTATGTCATTAAAGCCACTTCACTCGATGTCTGCTAATATATTTTTAAGGTTGCAAAGCCACATAAAGTCACACTGTTGCTGGGAACAATCAATGACCTCCCCTGGGAAATGGCTGCACAGGCAACTTCTGACTGATATTTTTATCCAGTGTAAATAAAAGTCATGTCACCAGCCTGCCTGATGCAATGCGAGAGAGTGACCGATCAACACTTTTAGGGAAATTTTGCCTTTCCCATCCCATTTAGCACAAGGATTGATAGTCAGCATTTTTCCTGACATGTGAGCATATTTGCTAACTTTTTAAAAGTTAAGCAACCCAAATCATTTCAGTCCCAACCACTTTATTTATCTATTTGTTTGTCATGTTTGGCAGTTGGATTTAACAGCTGCTAGAGGTGAACCTCAGCAACCAGTTAGCACATATTTGTGCAAGCGAATACAAAAAGAACTCAGAAGCGTAGACCCCCAGGATGGGTTCAGACAAGCACCCAGAAGTTCCAAATCATAATTCAAAATCTGGCAGATTCTTTTTGGCTGGGTTCTGCTCTGATTTAAGTCTGTAGAAGTGAAGTGCATGGAATTACCGTGGTGTGAAGGACTACAGAATTACCTAGCATCTGTTTAGTTTCATTGGCTGTTGCCCAAAATCAGTATTTTCTGCTTCTGACTGGGTTAGACCTTCCACAACAGACTTTCCTCTGTTGTCACTTTCATATTACGCTTCTATTGAAGGAGATTCTTCTCCTTATTTCAACAGGTTCTGAGACACACAGAAATGGAAACATTTTTAACTTGGATTTCAATGATTTTGAAACTGAAGTCTGCTTCTGGTTTGCTGCAAACCTATCAGAGAACTGAATCTGTTTGTCATTTCTTCCATCCAATTTTCTCTTTCTTAGCTAATGCTCTCTTTGTTCAACTTCTGGCGAAGACAACAGGCTCCTACTGCTGATCTCTTGTTTTTTCTAAAAGGCTGTTATACCCTTTTCACCCACAGCCCCATGCTCAAAACCAAATGGCAAAGGCCTTACTGTGAAGAATTACTCACAGGGACATCTTCAAAATGAATGTCGGTGACATTGTTGTTGGGGCAGCTCTGCCAGGCGTTATTGAGCCGGAACGCCAGAGCACTCGTGTGTCTGCCATCCAGGGCAGCAAATTTGCGGAACGTGCAGTTCTGGACGTTGATCGGTCCGTCGTAGAACTGAATCCCTCGAATGGGAAAATTCCTAAAAACATTTGGATGACACAGAGCCTTGGTCATGACACATTAGCATGAGGATGAGAACATATTCTAGACAGGGACAGTCCCATAGCATTTGATTCTCAGCTGCTATAATTTTTCTCAGCCCTTAGGATGACTCCTGAGTTAATGTTTTGGAAGAGAAGCGATTTCCCTCCTTTTTAGGTCTATGAAATCCTCTTATACTTGTGAGTTCAGTTCAAGTTCTCTTGTGTCTGAATAGATCATCTTTATTTAGTCTGTACTCCTCGAGGGAAGGCACTTATAGCAAGGCATTGACCTAAAAATGAATAAATCCATGCTTGCCATCACAAATGAGTTCTGCAGCAGCGAAACCTGAAATTCATCAGATCTGCGCAGACTCCTAGGACTGAGTAATGGCAGGGCTAAAAGAGGTCCCAACATATCTTTCAAAGGAACTTGGAGAGAAATAGCACAGCTCAGCTGCAATAAAAATGGATTTTAAAACAAGGAAAGATTTTGCAATCCATAGTACGGAAAATGGTTGAGGGGGCACAGACCAGTGAACCTTTATTAAGAGCCTTTTTTTTAAATATTAGTTGCAAGGTAAGGAAGACAGTATTTTTGACACTGATTAAATGAGCAAGATGCTTGAACTTCTTTATAGGCTAATACAGGATGTTTCAAATTTCACCTACAATCAATCAGAGCTGGACCCCTTCCTCATGTGAAGGGAAAGTTTCCCCTAGACAAGAACTGTCAGTTTCTGTGGGTTTGTTCTGTCTTTGTTTCTGTACACCACGTGCAAGATGATACGTATGTAGCTACCTGCCTATATACACATAACAGATTTTAGAAGGAGAATACTAGATCAGCCTTTCATTAGTGGTATGGTTAACAGGCCTCCTGCATCTCTACCAACAAGCAAAGCTGATGAGTGTAATTCTGCAGAAAAATATTAGTTGGGCTGTTTGTGCAGTGCAGGGCTACTGTTAGGATAACTATGTTTTTAAGGATAACAACAAATCATTATTGCAGTTGCAGATCAGTCTGTAGGACTACGGTCTAGGAAGAGGCCACACACAAAGTTTGCTGGCTATATCAAAACTATTTAGCAAAGACATCAGGTTCTTCTTGCACAGCAGCAACAGTAGGAACAACTCTAAGGTCTCCTAACACCACCCCTGGGTCAGCCCAAGCCCAGGGTAGGGCTTCTGCAAGATTTCCTGGCAACTGACCTGGATGGAGATTGCTGCATTGCTCAGTCACTGCTGACCACATAATACTAAATTGCCCAGCTACCACACACTTCTTTCGATGTCTTCTCAGCTCTCTTTGCAAAGGAGAGGGAAAAGGAAAGAGGAGTCTGATGCTGTCTTGGCAGCTTGCAAGTATGTACCTGCCAGGAGCAGCTGCACAGCGAGGACTTTGGGAGCAGGAGATGTAAAACCAAATCTTTTGTGCGTAATGGTTACTAAACTGAACAGCGCTGAGGAAACCGCCACGCTGGGCTGAAATCTGAACTGAGTAGGAACAGTGAGTGCTGTGGTGTGCTGAGCTGAACTTACGGGCCAATGGGCAAGGTCCTTCCTCTGTGATCCAGGCCTCCAGGTCCCCAAATCTCGTTGTCCATAGTCTCTGTGCCCAGGTTTCCACTCTCACCAACAAACAGGCTGTTCTTAATTTCTTGCTTTGAACCGTCATCATGAGGGAAGGTTCCACCACTAGGAAGGAAAGAGCCGGAGGTGAAGGGGCTGCTCACATCATGCCTACCTAGCATGCACAGGCTGGTAAGACAATGGTGCACGACACTTACCTTGCCAAGGTCAGGCCAATGCCATTGTCAGCAAACCTGCCAAGAGAAGAGTAGAGAGATGCTTCAGAAGAGGGCTTTTTTTTTTCTTTTTCTTTTTAATCATGTCAAGCTAAAATAACCAAAGTAATAAGGTGGAGAGCATCAGGGCTTAATTAACAAAGAGTACTCACGGGAGAACTCAGGCTTTTGCAGGTTTGTTTCCTGCCTAGCTTTGGAGCATCCTTTTTGGCATATCTTGTAGTATGCATGCATCATATGAAGCTGCAGTCATGCGTTTGATTGCTCCCAGTTGAGGTTAAGTCTGCAATTACTGGGCGTAGCTCACTTGTCTGATAAAGCCTTTTCCCTATATCTAATGATCACACTCTTTTCACTGTTAGGTGAAAAGATCATGCTTGTCTTTCACTCCAACTAGCTTGTATTATTTAATAATGCTTTGCCCTATGCACACCTTTTTGTGATTCCCTGTGTTTATGTATCATACAGTACTTCTGTGAAATAACTTTACAAGTGGAAATGTTACAGCAGTCAAGTCTGGCTTCTCTTTCACCATTAGGGAGATAGAGATCAGATTTTCCTTATAAAAAATTTTTAAAAAGATTTAAAAATCTTCTAATTTTGCTGAAATTCCAACTTTTAGAGGAGACAAACCACAAATGCAGATCCATGGCTCCAACTTATAGGAAAGCTTGAATTAATATGATAGTCTGAGTCATCCTTGGTGGTATGTTCACAGTGGTGTCTTTCTTACACTTCTAGAACTGATCTCCCCTGCACAGTAAAAACTTCAGTGTTGAGCCAGAAGCAGAGTACTGCCCAACTCTGTCTTGTCTTGCTTCTGTCTCTAGGTGGCAGCCCATTACACACTATGGCCTCCCGTTTTATTTTTCCAGCCCCATAAATGTACGCTGTGGTTTATATCCTACATGTGACATTAACATTTGTTTTGTTAATGTAATACATAAGTCTTACTGCAGCAGCAGAAATGGAAATACTGTGGCTATAAAAACAATTACAGTTTGATGGCTGCTTCCTCAAATTCAGATACACTCACAGGTTTATTGCTGGAAACTGGTAAAGCAGAGTAACATACTCAATATTTTAGCAACCTTGGTCCATGGCACTCAGCAACGCAGATGTCTACATGCCATGCGACTGATCTGCAAAAGCCACACTTGGTGCCTGTGGAATGCCAGACATTTCTGGTTCAGAAGTTCACGGGCAGCACAAACAAGAAGCCGACTTGGTATTACATTTCTGGCCATATTGCTACGTTTTCATTCTTGCCAAGCTGACAGGTTGCTAAAACCAGCTCATAGCCACTGGTTGCTTTAAGAGGCTTGGGGTCACTCTAAGGTAAGGCAGCTTCGGCCAGCAACTGGACACTAGATAGCGGTGTGACAGATATTCATACTAGGGTTATCACAATATGCCTTGTAAAGTAGCTTTTCCCCTTCTTTCCTCCTCTTTCTTCATTGAGGTTGATATCAAGAGTCTGGCTCAGGAAAAGAAACTGTAGAAGATCATCTGTTTTCAGGGGCAAAACAAATATCTGTTCTGACCAGCACAGGAAACAGCCTTCAAAGAGCGCACAAATATGCCTTTGCCCAGTTTCTCTCCCTTGCTGCTATGATGCATAGTCTTACGTCTGCTTCGTCAGTACTAGCTTATTCAGCACAACAGTGAACCACATGAAATTGATCTGTGACCAGGTTTAGCCAGGGTGGGTGGCTAATTTTGCTGCTTTCTTTTTAAAGCACCTCATTTTTCATATAAAAAGCTTTAGTTATTTGCACGTGTGTGCGTATGTGTGTTACCAGTTTTGAATGCTGGTCAGAATCACACAGAAGAACAATATGAGGGATCTTTGGTTCAGACAAAACAGATTTTGTTTGTGTAAAATAATGCCTGTGCTCACTTAACGTTTCATCTTTACTTTAATCTTGGCCAGATGAAAGGTGCAAAGCGATATAAATAGTCTGAACCACAGCTATGCTTGCCATAAACACCAGGCTGAACTTCTAGGGTTGAAATAAGGCAAAACTCACTGGCAGTTGTCCAGCCACACATCTCCACCCCGCAGCCAGGCCCCGTGATCCTGATTCTTGTAGGCAATAAAGCGTTCAATTATTGCAGGTTCCCTGGGCTTCAAAGGATCAGCGTCTTTGTGTGGGCTGTATCTGTAAGCAGAAGAGGAGAAGCAGCTGTTGGCGAAGGAAGGCAGCCTCGCTCAATACACAGCCCCGCTGTACATCCACTTGCTACACATCTGGTTTCTGCTCACTTAGGAGCAGCTCCAGAACAACAGTCCATCTAGTCAGGTAGCGTGAGGAGCAACGGCCAGAAGCAAGGGCCAAGGAAAGGCCAGGCCAGGCTAGCCAGTTGTGAAAGACTTGCTTCAGGTTTCCTTCCACCTTTCCATTATGGTATTGCTGATATATTGCTGAGGGCATGGAAAGTTTACATTGCTCCCAAAACACTGGGATGTTTTTCAATCCTTTACTGTTATCCCTCAGCATATTCTTCTTTTCTAGATAAATATCCTTTTGTTTTCCCTTTTGAGCATTCTTAGCTCTTAACCTTGGCTATACTGCAGCACTGAGCTTCACTGGCAAATTTTCCTCACTCCTTCACTATTCCTGCTATACATTGCCCAGGACACACGTACGAGATTTATTAGCTCTGGAGCTCTGAAATATGATGAAACCTTGGCCTGATGAAGGAAAAAAGCAGTCATGAATGGAAGCTGCAAGGAAGTGCTCCCCCAGCTGTTGCCCCCTGTACCACTGGGGTGACAGGACCTGAGCGAGGATCTGGCTTGCCACAGCAATGCTGAGTTCAGTTGTCATTGCCTCAGTCCTGAGTGGTTACTCTCCTTTTTATTACTGAAGGAGCATCTTCAATCAATATAACACAGCTTAGAAAACCTGACAGATGAGTATCCAGCTCAGTGCCAGCAACGGATGGTCCAAAGATTAAAATTCATTCCTAACAAATGGGTAGTGAGGCCAAGCTGTCAAATCGCTAACAGATATTCAATAGCATTTTGCTCCGCTTAATAAACCATCATATCAATCTAAAACTGAGCATCAGGCTGATAGCGTTCCAGTAAATGAATATTGCTTTGGCAGCTTCATCACTATGCATTTGCTTTCAGTGAGAGATTTACTATCAGTCCTTGTGAATTCCCCAGACATTGTTAAATACAGATACTTTGAGATGGACTCCAGTTTCACTCACACACATGTAAATCTGGAGAAGTGCTACAGGGTACAGAATTTAGCCCGGATATCTAACGCTATAACTGAATGCAGAATAATCTCACCAGCTTTGTAGCTGTCCAGCCTACCTCAAAGTCTTCCCCAGCCAGGGCAGCTATAATCAGCTATTCACTGTTTCATTCCTGACGTATGAAAAGTGCATAGTGGTGTAAATAATCTGAGCTGCAGCCTGTGCTGATGGGTAATCACCAAGCATAAACATGACTGCATTATGAATTGCTTAGCTTCCAGGGGTCATTCCTGCCCTTGTATGGCAAGACACAAATTGCCTTTTGTAATCACTTACTGCACTGATGGCAACAGGCAGTTTTCCCAAGGCACTCGTTCAGTTATATGGAAAAGCAGCATTGGGCTCCCACGAGAATTTAGAGGTACTTGCAGAGCAGGCTTCTCTTAATAATTTAATTTTTTAGCAATTACTTTTAATATTTTACTACAGACTTCTATTATTGAATTCATTGTTAAAATTAGTAGAGCATTAAAATAATATAAATAATATTGACTTTTGAAGGCCTGTTAGCATCAACAAAGAGTCTGGGCACATGGGTGATATGGATCATATGACAAAGGGCACGAGTGACACCTAAGCTGCTGTCTGCATTCCCCAGGAGAGGAGGACATCCCACTAATGCAATGCACACCCAGTGTGTGACTGCAGCCCTGTGGATAAAGCATGCCCCAGAGATGGAAAAGAGAAAAAGGAAAAATAAACAGCCATTCCTTCCTTCTGCACAGACAGCTTCAACAGGTTTCTGTTCCCTACAGGGCTTTGTCCGGAGAGCCAGTCATGGGGCAATGCAGGTTGGGTGCCACTGGAGATAACTGGTCTATTAGGAACAAAAACCATGAAACATGAGAATGTTCAACTCATTTTCTCTCCCTGGGGTTGGTATCTTAGCTAAGAGCCAGACTCAACCCCTAATGAGATAAAAGGGTGCAAGTGGAGCCCCCACACTATTAAACTTTGCCTGCAAGAAGGCCTTTTGCTTACATCAGCCTGCTCTCTGGAGTCAGCTTTGGGGATGTGGGAAAGAGAGTGGGAATTCTCAGAAGCCACTGAGGTGGTACACTAATATAATACACTAATACGATACACTCTAGAGAGTAGTTTTTAATATTTCTAAATGGTTCCGTTGTGTTGCACAAAGGCTCTGCACATCAGCAGCGATGAAGGGTTGCTCTATGCATTCAATCATAAATATAATTGTTATTGCAGCATCAGATTAGGAACTAGACAGAAATTGGACATCGCAGTGTAAGCTCCATCATATAAGTACTCCCTGTCCAATCAGTCCCCCCAAAAATGAAGAAGATTTACAGCTATTCCAAGAAGTATTTAATTTCCTATTCCTGGGAAACTCTTGCAGCAAGTTCTGCCCAGCAGGGTTGCTGACCAGACAACATTTCATTTTCTTGCTCATCTACAAAGGAATTAATAGATCACCCTAGAGCAGATGTAATTCCCATGCCAGCTCAGCTCAGAACTAAAAATCAAGGATAAAAACATAAGGGTGTGGGTGCTGGAGGTCCTTTATGGTAAGGAATGGCGGGGGGCAAAAGTTAGGAAGTTGTAAATCTAAGTGAAGACCTTTCCCCACTAAGAGCTTAATATGGCCCCACCAAAGACGTTGCAACGATTCTTACAGCTTCCTTGGGAGCAACTTCACAGCTTTCAATCAGTGCTACAGAGAATTTTTTTCCAAATCAAACCATGTGAAACACTTTACCTCCCAGAAATCAGTGTCAGGATAGGTCTTTTGTCCTTGGCTGAGGCTGGGGTGGTTTTAACACCATTATCAATGATCATCCCAGCCTAAAAGAAAAGAGAAATGCAATGTTACAGTATGTTTATATACTCTACAGTTCTTTCCATTTCCAAGTTCTGCTTCCAATTGCTCTAAACCAGGGTCACTCACATTATCCCAAAAACTGCTTCTGTGAGTAATATGTAAAACAGGGCTGCCAACGCTGTCAGGGCTAGCATAGCTCCTTGCCTACCCAAACTGCTGCAGATTTCCAGAAACTGCACCTTGCTTGTAGCTGTACATATTCACATACACATAAACAGCCTGCTGCAGTCAAAAGCGCTCAGTAACAGACACAAGCTTGTTTTCCCCCCAGCCAATGCCACAGTGCAGTACGCTACCGATAAATAAGTAAAGAGCTAGAGAAGGTGATTAGGCAAAATGGCCCTGATTTATCCCCCTGGAAGCCATTCAGTTAACTGTGAACATTGGCAGTTGAGGTCTATAAACAGAAAAGCTGCCAATAGATGCTACTGGGGGCACTATTTCAGAGCAGAAGCAAAGAAACAGCCTAGCGGCACCGAATGAAGGGAGGAGCCTCTCTCCATGCCCATGAGTCAGGCCCACAAGTCTGGCTCTTGGTGTTCCCGTGCCAGCATGCAAGCTGCTTTGTTTGCAGACACAAACGAGCCTGCAGGAACTTTTAGTGAAACAGAAAGCCCAGGCGTTAATTGTTTGCAGACGCAAAAAGCTGGAGCGAGAGAGGGGTGGTTTTTGGAGAGACGCGTTCCCGTTGCGTGCAGCTCACCCGGTAGTTGGAGTGTGCGCGGTTGTTGGCGAATGTCCCCATCGGAATGTGCTCCGAGTAGCCGGGGGAATACATGCCGGCCGAGGGCCCCGTGGGCACATGGTGCAAAACGAACCAAAAGCCTGTTTCCTGGGGAAAAGAACACATCTGAGCCTTCACTTGAACTTCACCACTTTACGTGAGCCCAGGGACTTATCAGTAAGCACACAAAACGAAAGCCAGAAGATTTCAGGACAAATCACAGCTAGCAGCACTGACCTGTATAACTATACGCAATAGAAAGTTTAACACGCACAGGCACTGTGCTGGTCCTGACCAGCATTTTCAAGATGCCTTATGTTAAGCTCTAACATCTCTATTGAAGGTGTAAGCAAGCCTTTCAAAATTCGTAGCACACGTACATACACTGATGAATGTGCAGATCTTAAAAAGCAGGTCATTTTTATTTAGTTGGCTAAAAATGTATGTAGGAGCCAGAGTCTAAGCACTCAGATTTGAAAGCTTTGGAAAGATCGTATCTCTTTGTTTAAGGTTTGATTTGCATGTTTATTTGTCTTAGCAGAAAAATAAAGGCTCCTGATGTGACTAAGAATTCCTGTGGAATTAGCATTAGTGCTGATTGAAATTTCAGAGCACCATTACTGTACTGCAATCAACAAAATCATTGCCAAAGACTTCACTGAGGCTACGCAGTCAGATTTGTTTAATTTATTCAGGCTGCACACTGTGTAAAGGCTGAGAATTTTTCTTAAAGCAATCCAGCTCTAGAAACAGCAAGTGACAAGAAGTGTGGAGCAAAAGAAAAAGCATTATTTTTTATTGGCACTGCTGGCTACATTAATATATGTCTTGATCTAGGAGTTTCAATGACTCCTGAGTAACAGAAGCAGGTTTTATTCCAGCAAGAACCTCAGCCTTGCAGGGCTATTACAGTTCTGAATTTTTACCAAATAAGAAACTTCTGCACTCACTTCAGATCCTGCAGCTGCACAGTTTACAAGGTTGTTGTGTGGGTTGGCTATCCAGAAGGTGGATACAGCACTGCAAACCAGGAAAACAAAGAATAACATGAAAATGGCACCTAGGGCACACACAGAAGAGTCAATGATCAACTCCACGCGGCACAGGCAGGTCTGATAACGCCTCAGATAAAGGGTCCTGCCTCCAGGTCAAAGGGACTGGTTCTTTTCTCTCTCCCCTCACACCACATTTGTCCTCTATGGCTGACAGAGAACATGGTCTTATCTTTTAAAACCCCAGGTATTAAATGAGGAATTTCTATTGCAATTCCAAGCCTGCTATGAAGCTGTCAGATGTCAATTATGCTTTATGATAAGGTAAATATGTTGTTGCACAAGCTACAGAAAAGAACCTTGCCCCCAAATAAGCCCTCAGGTTCACTAGAGACTTGTTTAATCAAGGGACCCTAGGAATTGTTTTCAAGGGCTTTCCAAGTCTACCTCTGGCAACCTGCCTTTTCCGTGAGCTGCTGTGATTCATTATCTTTATTTGCTTCCACCCCCTATGCATTTCTTTTGGGACAAATGGACTCCATTTGCCTAATGTACACGTAAAAGACTCTTAGTTGAAAGATGTACATCAAGGAGGAACAGTCAATCCATCATAGTCCATCCTGTGACATAGAGCATTCATTAACTAACAGGGATATAAACTTTGGAAGGAAAGCATTCAGTGCTTAAAACCAGCAGATTTGCTCCCTAAATTTTCTGGGTGAGATTCACCTTCATGTAGGAGACGAACCTATGCTACCCTTAGGCCTATTTTAAACTCCCTGTGGAGGACTTTATAGGGTCTTTAGGCCAACTGACTTTGTTGGCTTAAGGCAAAGTTTGGTTTATGTGACTTTATCATGAAAACATAGCATAGGAGTGGCCTAGAAAAAAACTTGAGATTATTTCCAGACTATCCCCTGCTGCACAGGAGACGCTCTTGAACCTGTCATGTCTCCACAGTGTCCTGTAATCCACACACACTCCTCAGTCACGTGTGCTGGACAGGTTCCTGTGTCATTTGGCACAATCCTACTGTCCCCCTCTCGGCCCCGCGGCCAGCTGCCCCTGGACACGGCGCAAGCTGCGGCGCAGGGCGGTGACAGTCTCTCCTGTGCTGGCAGGCTGGAGGAGCCCAGTGCAAAACACCATGTTTATTCTGGTCAGCCCTTGAATTCTTTTTTAAAAGTAGATAGGGTGCGTCTGAGTAGTCTAAGACTTTTTCACAATACCTCTGCAGATCAGTCGTAGCACTTTTTCTTCTGAGAATCTTCAAAATGATACAAAGTATGACCTCTGACTATTAAATGAATTATCAGTGGAAAATGAGTGCAATGGCTGATTAACTCTTATTTTATGAATGGAGACATGAAGTGTAATTTATAAACAAACACAGATGTGAAAAAGAGCATTGCATGAATTTCAGCTCTTTTCCTTGCCAAAGTAAAAGCTAAAAATATGTTTCTTTGGATAAAACCCCAGTTTGTTCGGAGGACAGAATGGGTGATATTGATAGTCTCAGCAGATTGAGTATATTTCCAAATACAAGAAAACCCTCAAAGATTTTTAGCTGTTATGCATCAACCAGCTTCCATCTGTCTCATTTTCAGGATGGAAGTCTAGCTCCAGAGACTTTCTCATCGACTTTTGTTGGTCAGAAACTTAGCTTTTTTTGGTGTAGATTTTTTTCCTCTTCAACAATTACAGTATAAAATCAGAGGAAGAGAAATCCAGACTACGGGCAGAAGCATTCCTCTCATCCAGCAGCTTCAGTGCAGCATCAGTGCCCTTTGGTCTCAAGACAAACTCCACCTTGGAAGACCTCCTGTTCTCTTGCATAGCGGTCTTGTCCTCAAACTTTGGTGATTCACCAGCAATTTAAAGCTTTTAAAGGCAAACTTGAAGTCCATCTTTTAATGGAAGATGGTCTGAAAACAACATGGTTCTACACATCCGCTCCAGACCACTTGCAATATTCCCTGGACTACACTGGAGGATTTAGTTGCCTAGATCAAGGCCTCCCAGTGAGTGGTAGACAATAGCTTTAAAACTTTGTTCTGCTTCTATATTTTCACTTTTTACTATAACTCTTCCTGCTTGGATATGCAGGTGCAAATGATAAACAACCAACACTACTTGTTTCCATGAGATATCCGGAAACACTCTGGTAGGGGATTTCACAATTCATGGCTGACACTCTGTCATTCTGGGCAAACACTCTATATATGGCTAGGACAAGCCAGTCACAGAGGGAGCTATAAGCATACAGGTTTTTACTTTAAAAAGTTAGTACTGTCTCAAGAAGAATCGGGAGAATGGGAGAAGAACGAGAAAGCTAATTAGCTACCTGATATGCATCAAAAATGGATAGGTTCCCTGAACAGCCAATAATTACCAATGAAACCATATTCCTAGATTATGTACCCCGATTTTAGAGGGAAAAAATATCTGAAAAATCATGGAAAGGAGGGCTAGAATAGCCTTCAGGAGCTCAGCTGGTCCATACCCTACCTTATGACAGGACCAGCTATAACTACAGTATTCCCCTCTTGCATTTCTCTAACCTGTTCTTAAAAATTACTACTAATGAAGAACCCATGACTTCCTCTGAGAAAGAATTCCAATGCTTAACTATGCAGCCAAGTTGGTCATGTTTTCCTTTTACTTCCCAAGGCAACCGAACGGCAAAAAAAACTTGTAAAATCCCTTCTCATTGCAAATGCTTCTAAATCCTCATCTAAACCTCAGCTGGTGGATCTGAAAAGATATAGTAGGGGAAGGGATCTTGCAAAAGGGAAGATGAAAGACAAGCAGCATTTTTCCAGGTTTAATACAGAGTGTGTGGCAAACAGGAGTTTTGAGAAGTTCTCATCAAAGCGTTTTCATGTGCTTATGTATTAGAGATCCAACAGGCATATACAGCCTTTGATCTTTTATTGCCAAGTTCTAATTCTGTGCTAAACTGCATTTAGTATAACCTTTGGGGCTTCATTTCACAGCTTAGGTAGACTGTGCCAAATGAATGCATGATGCCACTGCCTTATCATTAAATAGTATCAATTCTCCACAAATAATGACTTTGACAGTAGTGAGAGTATTTGCAAAACCAGTTACTATTTGACATGAGCACAAGTGTTAGAATTCAGCCCACTCGCAACTCAGTGATTGGTTACTGAGCCATTAAGGATGTAACTGACTCCATAAGGTGCAAGGCACCGCTATACTTTGCAAGGGCAACTTTCAACAATCTCTGCGGTAGCCACCATCTCAGTCTACTTTATGCTAAAAAGGAAAATTACACCTCCGATGTGTATGCATCTAAATAACACCAGCCAAAAGATCCCACGGAGCCTGCTCTATCAAATTTTAGGAAAGCAACCTAGACTTCTGAAGGTGACTACATAACCATGTAAACATAATGCTGCCTTTCATGGCTAAGTCCTGCAAAGAAAAAAAAAAAAGAAAGGTTCCCACTCACCTACAGTCCTGCCTGGGTTTCGGGATATACCCTGGGTAAGCACCCTCTGTGATCATCTTGCACATCCTGCTGTCTCGGTCAGAGGGGAGCAGAGTGCTAGGTTTAACAAGCAGTCCAAGGCAGTGATCAAATGTGTTGCGTTCTTCCGGTCCATCCTCAGTAAAGAAGCAATGGCCTAGCGCATCATAACCTACAACATCCTTCACCTGCATGTACAAAGCAGAGGTCTGTGTTCAGGTTTCACCCTTCAGTCACTGTGTAACAATAAGAAAGCTTATAAGAATAACATAAAAGAACCTCAGTAACTTCTTGAACTAAGGGTGTACAAGCAAAAGCAGAAGCAAGATCACTTCCTGATTTTAAGAGTATATAGTCGAAACAATAGCTTAGACTTCAAATTCATTAGAATTTGTTATCATCTAAGAAATACTAGTTCCATTCTTCTTTTGTCTGCCTGTGAAATCGGGGATTATCTTAGCATAAGACTGGAAAAAACACAGAGAGGGAATGAATGAAAGACATCAGATGTTCAGATCACATCTGGGCTTATTCATCTTCACGTGTAGTTACATGAGCAGCTACATAAAATGCATCTGAAAAATGCAGCTGAGCTGAAAAAATATTTTTTCAGGCTATCAGAGAGGCGGCAAATTGTTTTCCAGACAGGCTGGCTTGTTTTAGGTTTGACCTGATCCTTTTTTCCAAATTGTTGACAGAAGCTTTACTTGACCCTGAGACAAACCAGCTGGTGTTAATCAGTGCAGTTCTGGTTTTGGTTTGAATACTGTTAACATTGGGACACTATTGTGTCCGATATAGAACAATACCCATCACCCCAGTGAAAAATCTGAGATTTCAGGAGTGGGTACGTGACTTTGAAGCCTAAGGCTAGGACTGGCTAGGAAACAACAGTCCTCAAACACACTGTATCCAACAAGTCAGTGGATTTGTCTGGGATGTGGAAAATTATCTTCAGGTCTACATTGACCAAGTGAGGGTCCTAGCCACTGAAGTGCTGGCTCTCCTGCTGGTCTCTCTTTGCTTTTCCCATCTGTCTTCACCCGCCATCCACTTTGGACCTAGAAAACCTTTCTGACAGAATTTCACTTGATGCCAATATGTTTCTATGGATGCTTCTAATGAAAGAATAATTGCCGAAGGGCAAAAGACTATATTAAGCTGGATAAAAAAACCTATTCTTTAAGGTGTCATTGAAAGACCTAGAATTCCAGATGCTTGAATTACTTTTGTAAACAGGACTGAGACTCTGTCATCTATATGTCTCATCTCAAGGTTGTCAGGCAAAGAGCACCAATTCAAATCAAATCCCAGGACTAAAGCTGAAATGGTTACAAGTATGTTTTCACATAAGATAGAAGGTTTTGCTTGCCAAATCTATTGTATGCTTACATCTGCACACACACTTACTATGTATCATCCATGCTCCCATGTAAATATTCAAATCTCTGAACACAGGTCACCACAGTAAATTAAACACAGCTAAAACGATCTGCAAAAAGTGGTGCATTCCACTAAACTACCTCACTGAAGTTTGCTGCTGACTTCTCTGATTTAATGAGATCGGTTGTGCAAGGCCAAGGCTTCCTTATTTAGGTATAAAATGAACTAAACTGTCCTTCCTTGGAAGCATGAACTTTCCTAGACTTGCAGTTAGAAAGGTTTATGGGAAAGGAGAAAATTTCAGGAGAGTGACCTATTTTCAGAAGAAGAGTTCCAACACAAGCAGGATGTCTTTTAGTCACAGAGATATCAGAACTGCACAGAAATAGCCATCTAAACCTATTAGTTTTCTTTCCCACAACAATAAAATTGGAAAGACACGTTAGTAATAGCGCTATAGCATTTAGATGATGGAAAAGTGCTCCTCAGAGAAATGTTCGCCACTTGCTATTGCCATTCATCTTTCCAGCCAGCACAGCATGGCACCAGGACTGCGCACAGGGACGTGAAAAACGGTGGTGATCAGCCTATAGCTGGGTCAAAGCCCACCTCTGTGCATGTGCAGTAACATCACAGGGGAATGTATCTCCCAGTACGGTAAGAGAGGAATGAGGCGGAGAGAGGAACGTGCACTAGCAGAGAGCCTCAGAGTCGGCAAGCTACACGTTGTTATCTTTCATCCCTGACAGCCAACAGAGCAACATTGATTTATCAGCCAGAGACCTGGTCCCTAATGTATCTGTCACCCTCTATTTGATTAAGTTTTGCTTTGGTCAACTCTGAGTTAATTTCCGTGCACCTTCTCATGCACAAGCCTAGTACTGAAATGTCTGGGTAGCAAAAGAGCTACTCATTCCAAAAGCACTTTTCCAATGAATTCAATTTTTAATTTGATGAAAACCTTCCTAATAGTCTGTAATCTTACTTCAACCATGAGTAATTTATAGCCAGATTATGTCCTCTGTGGTAAAACAACCGCCACGTAGCATAGCTGGATTAGTAGAAGTAGATACCGCTGTAGTGCTTAGATAGCACAACTTCTTATTCCATGAAGCACAGCTCTTCACTGGATCCTGCCTGCCTGTTTATTGACCTCCATTTAATTTCCTTCCCTGAGGACTGTCTCTGTTTTAGCTTGCACACTAGGATCCAGTTGAGACAGTGGGAATCAGAGCAAAGTTTGATCCTTGGGAGTGCAGTGGTGTAACTAGGTGGTTTTATGTCCAGTGTATTAAAGAAAACATTGTGCAATTACTGGCATTTTCAAAGAATAATACTGATGAGAAGAGAATTTCTACAATTTTTTTATTCAGAAGGACCCTCTATGCTTTACAGGGAGTATCAACTAGCAGACAAGTGCAGAATAGCCCATTGATAGAGGTGAGCTAATGCTGGGATAGGAACTATTAGCAACACTGTACAGGTCCACAGAAAAACAATTCTGGCATTAGGAATAAATGGGACACTGCCTTTCTCCTAGTGTTTTCAGTTTAAGTGTTTCTAAAGGTTCTTCTAAGAGTATGAAAAGTTTAAGTGACATGAGAAAAGTGATAGCTAAGCAAGTAGAAGAGTCTGTATGCAAATTACCAGCCTACTTTAATGGCAAGTAAAAATAACTGATGACCCTCTCCCATTTGTTAAAGCATTTAGATAGGTACTTAGACAGTCATGTGAGAAGTCCCTTTGAAATCAGTGGCCCAAATTCAAATATGTCCTTAAGTGCTTTGTTATGCTGGCATTTAATAGTCCAGCAAGATTTTTGTATGTCTGTTTCCAAAGTGTGATTCATGCACATCATCAAGACAAATTGCTCCTCAGCAAAGTATGCTTTGGATTTACCTGAGCTCAGAGGGAATGAATGTTACCTGGGGGGACGCAGAGCTCATTACTGTTTGTACAAACGGTGCTTGTGCATGTAGAAACAGGTAGCATTGCTCAAGTAAGGTGGTAATAGGCAACTAGGAAATGCATGGAATAACAGTAGTACTCATCAGAGACCCATCTGGGTGCTTGTGAATATATCTGGGGGCAGGAAGAGGAGGAAAGGAAGGAAAGCAGAGTAAACAAAAAAAAAGGTGTGGAGAATGCTGTGGGATCGCCTGATGAATCAAGGGATGGAACCGCTGCTGCAGATGTCTGTCACAGAGCAATGAAATGCCATTTAACTGATGCAACCTTTGGAGCACCTCTTCTGTGATGCAACTGAGCAAACATGGTTAGATTGCTTTATTTTACTGGGGCTTTCATTTCAGCTGATGGCAATAATTGGTTAAAACAAAAAAATAGGCCAAGTATTATGGATACAATTTAGTGCTCACATATTATGATAAACCATAATCAGCAGGAATTAAATTCTTGATCAAGATTTCCGATTATGCCCCTAAAAGCTAAGACTTCTCTTGAGTACCTTGTCATGGAGTTGAATTAAGGCCCTTCAGGGAACTGTGGCTGTTGAGTAACAGCAGAAGAATCAAACTGCTTTCATTGGCTACATCAATCTATCTAAATTTCATCATGTCATCTTGGCTGGAAAAGCCTGAGATCATGGATCCCTGTAATATTTCCAAGTCATAGTGACGCAATTGTCACTTGAAGAAGGCACAAGAGACAGAAATATTTCCAAATGCTCTATATAAACCCAACCCTCTGACCCATAAGAAAAATGCCAGGCTCTGGGTATTTGGGTTGGCAGGTATTAACCAACAGGGAATTAACATCACAAATTAGATTTAGAGCTAGGGCTTTAGTTGGCCTTCAGCTAAGCAACAGCTGTGCAACCACTGTATAACCAGAGAACGTGTTTGTGCGACCATTGTTAACAGCCTTGCTATTATGTGACAAACAAATCCTGGCAATACTGCCTTTCCACTCTCTATGTTAGTTTTATTCCTATATTGGTGCCTTTGAATTGGGAAGATGCTACATGACCCTGAATGCCATATGTAATTTATATAGGAGTGTTTTTAGGTTTTTTTTTTCAGAAGCCAAGTTCACTTGGCAAGTTTTTAGGCTCGTGTTAAAAATTTAGAAGGGCAGAGGTCAGAAACAGAACCTCAGATTCAGAAATAGCAGATAAAAGCTGCTCTGCTTCTTGAACTGCAATTTCAATGTCCTCTCTTCAACTTCTGTGTATTTTAATTATGTCTGTGGCTTCCTTTTCCAGTGTTGCCACTTTCAGAGACTCCATCCTGTGGTGCCTGCTAACAGGAAGACTGTAAGACCAAGTCCTCCATGTGTAAGCAAAGGAGGAAGCGTTCATCAGTAAGTAAAGGACAAAAGTCATCTCTTAGCCAGACAGCGAAAATAAGTATTACCCCCCAAAAAGCTCAAGCACTGTAGACTCTTACAGACTCTTACTATGATTGGATACCATAACTTCAGAACAGTGACATAGTCACGAATTCCTAATGCTCAGGGACTATTCAGCCTATACCTGCCAATAATGGGGTTTCTGGTAAAACTGTACTACATGCAGCAGCAGGGATCTTGACTGTACAAACACTTCTCTTCAGGGTCTCATAGGTTTTTTTTTCTCTTTTTTGAAAACAATGCCATCTCACTGAATTGGTGACAGTCCTTGCCTACAGAAATCTTGGCATGTTAAAACTTCCTATTTGAACTGATACTTAGAGAAAAGTTGACTAGTCAAACCTGACATTTATTTCACACCTTTAGCTCTGCCTTCAGGACAGATTTCTCTGCATTTCCTGAATATGGGTAAAAACTTCTCTTTTATCACATTCATTTTGTGAATGGAGCTGGTTGGATATATAGTTTCAGTAACAACATCCACACTGTACTTTTTAGATTCTGATTTAGTTACTGGAGCCAGGTGGCTGCACTGGGCAAGGTGCCCTATCTGTAATTTCTCATGTGAGTGGCTATCAAGATACTATTTTAAAACAGTACAAAGTTCAAGTTGACAAAAACACAGAGGAACCCAATCAACCCATCTGGATTTGAGAGGTACTGGAGGCACAACTGTGTTCTGGGAGAAAGCCTTCAGAAGAGGGGAAACAGTGATAAAAGCCTTTGGGAGCTTTGTGCCAGTCTCTGGGATGTTTAGGGATTTAGCATGGCTCAGAAACGTTTTCCCTCCACATCCTTATGACAAAGACGGAGTCTTCACGTTTATGGAGAATCTAAATGTGTTCTTATCATGTCTAGTGTGCTGCAACTTATCTGACAGGTATGCATCATTTCATAAACATATCCTAAAGAATTTCTTGTTCTGGAGAGCAAATCAGCCAAATCAGGGCTCTGCAAATGCTTAATGTTGTGAATGGCATTGCAAACATGTTGTTCTTTATTATAGGAAAATTGAAGCATGTTTAAACCTTCTAATTATCCTCTGTAAATAGCAAACTCTCTGTCTGTAGATAAGTTCAACTACTCATTAGAAATGGGCTGGTCTGCAGGCATCTCTGCACACAGAGAAAAGCTCTGCTTGGTCTGAGTCACACACAGCTGATGATAGTGCCACATCCTCACGCTGACCACCCCCTCTTTAACATAGGCTGAAATATGCCTACACTATAAATCCACAAAATTAGGATAGGAGAAAATAGGCAGACATTAGATCTAACAGTAAAATATATTACCTGCAACAACTAGCTTATACTCATGAAATAAGGAAATAATTTGGCTGGTACTTTGATCTGTAAGGTAGACATAGGAGCTTCTTACCAGTAAACCATTGGATCCATGGACCGTGACACAGCGGGAGAAGGTGTGGTGGATGGAGACATCCTTCACGTACGTTGGAGGGTTGTAGCCTCCTTTCTCGTCCACATCTCCAGCCATATGGAAATGAATTGGGTAATGTCCCATTGTCTGCTGGCCCATGTATTTCAGTTCTAGACCTTCAATATGTGTAGCCTTAAAATCAAGACCAACCTGGAGAACAACAGAATGTCAGTCAAGAGCCATAAAAGACTGTTTGGGGTAGAAGGGGGGAACACAAAGGTAAAAATGATTGCATTGTGCCGACTAAAGATATTTACTGTGTTTAAGGAACATAAATGGACTGTAGCTGCTCTCTGATCTCTCCACTGCTGCCATGGCTACATCTGACTTTCGTTTACAAGGAAAACTGTTCACGTTTAATGTTTTCCATGAAGTTCTTCAGTCAGTTAGGCTCAAATCTAAACCCTTGGGCTGCACACCACCAGAATTTGAGGAAAACTGGGATTGGGAGGTAGAGATTGTATCTCAGACAGGCTGAACGCCAGCCTGTCTGGCTGAGCAATATCTGTAGGGGCGTGAGGTGCACTTCAAAGCAGGGGGAACAGCAGCAGCAGCAGCAGGGTGGACCTGCCGTGCTGCAGGGAGAGGCTGTTTGCTCAGCGGGCTGATGCGAGGAATTCCTTTCTTTCAGCGTCCTGGCTCCCTCGGTATGTTAAGGTGTGGCTCTGTGGGTAGGAAGGTGCAAGCAGAGGGCTCCAGCCCTACCTTGATGTGTCCCCCGAAGGTGTCGAAATCAAAGAAGGAGCACAACTTGCTGCTGTACTCATAGCATTGCCCCTCCATCTCGCCCGTGATCACGACATTCCGGCTCAGCAGCCCCACTTCTGCTCTCATGTCGACGCCGTCAATGACTTCTCCAATGTGGAGATACGTTGCTTTCCCTGAGGGAACAAGATCCAGTTTCAGAGTTACTCTGCCAACACTGCTGGTTTCCCTTCATACTTCCTGTGGTGGGGGTAGTGTGATAATGAAAAGAGTAATTGAATCAGCAAAAACTGTTGGCTGACTCCTCAAAGGAGGGAAGCCTGGAGCACAGGTGTCATGCAAGGTCTTGCTGAGATTTCTTCAACAGAGGAAGTGGGATTTTTGGTCTTAAATTGCTTCATTTAGCCAGGGAGTTAAACCAACAGTCTGTTAGACAAAACATTTTGCCGACCTCGAAGAGAGACTGTGACCACTCAGGAACTTTTAACATTGGTTTGCAATCAGCTGTGTATGACTGTCCAACACAAAGAAACTTGCTGATGTAGCATGGCACTTTCTCTAGTGAGACACTGGGAGATGCTCAAATCTCACAGCACGACTTACTGGTGAGTGTCAGTCTGATCCTACTCAAGTCATGGCTGTTAATCTAAACAAGGGCAAGACTGCGCATAAAGCCTTGTAGAAACTGTGGCCTGAGAAGACCGCAACCCCACCCCAGCTTGTGGGCTGCTTGCAGCTCCCAAACTGCTCAGTTTTCGATCCACCTGCATGTCTCCAGCTTCCTCTCAATGTTTCCCTCTGCTCTGGCTTAGTTGAGTCGATTGGGATCATCCATCTGCCCTGTGTCGGAGGGCAGGTTGCTGTTAGGCTCCCTCCACACATCCACCTGGCTCCTTGGAAGGGTTAAAAGCACATAAAGCCTTCCTTGACCTGACAGAAAGGGCTGAACTCTAGGCAGTGTGGATGTCTAGAAAGCAAAATAATCTCTTTACTGTAATTTCATTCAAACATATTCATCCTCCCTCCTTCCTGCGTTGGCTTTCTGCAGAGAATGCAGTTGGGAAAAGGCTCATCTTACTGACTACATTCTGTATTATTCCAGTAAAAATAAGTAATAAACTCTTTAAGTAAACACTGAACTTTAAGGAATGCTACACTTGCATGTATTTAATTTCAGTGGAACTGTTCAAAGCAGTAATTAGAAACAAATGGCAATCCCGAAGCCTGACTATCACTGCGAAGCACTTTGTGCTTAAGCACAGAGGTGCCAAGCTGGGGAGGGGGAGGATTTTGAACATTTAAACAAAACATGATGCTTTGAGCTTATAACAAAAGATAAGCAAACACAATTCACTCCCCCTTTCTCCTGGAGCTGGGAGCAATGTAATTCACCGATAATATTGGGATTCAGGAAGGGTGAGCCTTCTGCCTCGGTCTGCGGCTCTGAGATTGCCGTGCTGCATGACACGCTGTTGTTACCTGTGCCCTCTGCCTCAGCTCCTCCACCTACGAAATACTGCAATAACATGAAAAAACACTATCTGTTAACTAGAAGAGTGGTGATGACAAGACAGGTGGATGCAAGGCCACACTTTTACCCATTTATCCATTCAGCTTCTGATGAAGAATGAGATAGCACATTGTGGGGGTAGGGGGAAGACTAGAAGAACATGTGGTGGGCTTAATTATTATTGGGAAGGAAGGAAACTAGAATTTCTTCCTCTTCAAATCAGCATTACGTCACCCTCCTCCTGCCCCTGCACACACAATAGGAGGTTTTCCTGCGGCTCTCCTTAGGGTTGGCAGAGGTGAGCCATGGGATGGGGACTACTCTGCACTCTGCCCCGTCCCACCACATCAAAGGCGAGGGGCAGATCTGGGCGTGGGTTTGCATCTCGTCCACGGTAGCAAATGCCTTCCCAGAAAGGCCCTGCTTGTCTGGGTGTCCCTGGAGCATTGCCTCATCAGATACCTGTCCAAAATCAGATCTAGCCTATCCAAAAAGCAACTTTGTTTGCCTTACTCACGTTCATTAAAAAAGCTGCAGCTGTGAGTGTCCTCTGCATGAGGAAACTCTATGCTAGACCCTTAAGCAACTCTGTTTAGGAAGACAGTCTCCCATTATAAAACTGTTTTTAAGTTGTTTTTTTTCAGTTTGCCCCCATGTTGACCTTTCTTTGATTTACTGAAATGCAGGAAGAAGTTCAGATAATCATAAGAACATCCTATTTCAAGCCACATCTCTGGGAGGCATGGCGCTGAAATTAGATAGGCAGTTTTGTTATTTATGTGCTGAGCTCTAGAATAATAAATGTCATGCTTGCATGTATTTAATTTAATTTAACACCAGTCCAGACATGCAAAATAGTGTAAGCACTGACAGGAATGTTAAACATGCATTAACCGGATTCTAAATATAACTTCTTGGGTGCATGTTTTTTGCTTTACGCTTTTGCTGACTTGACTTGTTTGGAGATAAAAGGAGAGATGGAAAGCAATTCCCTTCCAGTGTAAAAGTGGATTTTGAATAATAGCTCCTTTAACAGAGTTTTCAGAAACAAACCTCTCCTCACGGCAGCCAGAAATTCAAGCTCCTCACAGCAATGGGGCCGTCCTACGGAAATGGTTCACAGGAGACAGACGCTGGCACAGGATCCCTCAGGTGCTGTTAAATTCCTTATGGAAACCAGCACCAGGCAGTTTCCACATGGCCAGAAGTGCTGGGATGCACGTTTATAAACCCAGGGCACTTGCAGGCAGCCCATAGGGCTTGTTCAGTGATGGGCATGAGAAAAATAAAAAGAGGCTGCTCCGTGGAGAGTTTAGAGAGTTCACTCAGAGTTGGGAGCATCTCACTCTGCAGAGCTGTAAACTGAATCTGGAACTAAGCTGTTGCTTGCAGCAGGCATGCTGAGCCGTACCGGGCAGCAGCAGTCATACCCAAAACCCTGAGACCTTGGCCATGGGCAAGCCCAAAGCAGGGACTCGCAACCCGGCACTGGAGTGGTTTGATGATAAGAAAAGCAACACTACAACTTTGAACGTGGAAGCAACGCGTCTGCTGCTTCAGCAGTGAAGCCGATCCCGAGGATTGCCCAAGCGCTGCCAAAGCCAGGGTAACTGATTCATCAGCTCTTTCTTTGGGCTTGGTCTTGCTGCATCACTCACGGACAGAAGTTGCCTCACCAGCAAGCCTGACGTGTGCCGTGCTGTAATCTAAACCAAACACAGCGTGGTGGTGACACGGGTTATGTCTCCACCTGACAACCCTATGTGCTGGGAAAAGAATTCCCCACGTTTGCGGCTCTCTGTCACACCGGTGCTTGCAGTGAGGAGAACATAAATTCACGGGGAAAAGCTGCTTTAATACGCGGGCCTGCCTGACATAGGTCTTGAATCAGCAGAATATGAGCACATTTCCATGCTTACTGCTCAAGATAGCAGCTATGAAAGTAATCAGGGCAGTTTTAGTAAGGGCAAGGCGACTATTAAAAGAAAGTATGTATTAAGATAAACATAGATGATCCACAAATCAAGGGCAGGCTTATGTCAACATAAAAGTTCAAAGCAGAGTCTCTCTCCAAACTGTACAAAGCTTCAGGAAAACCTGTCATGCTTGAACCTAACCATAAAACTTGGGTCTCAGCCCTTATCAAACCTCGAAAGGGTGGAATTTTAAAACTATTTCAGCAGCTGCAGATGCGGATGTGTGCCTAGCTCTGGCGAATTACAGGCAGATATGCCTTTGAAAAACCTCCCGGGTACACTCACATGTTCCTAAATGCCTTGGCTCTAAATGACTTAAACTTATAGATCTCACTTTCAGAACTGAACCAGGCACTTAGAGGCCTAGGCCTGATTAAGATGAAATGGATCTAAGATACTCCTGAACTTTTTTTTTCCTCTCCTCAATGTTCAGAGTTCTCCAAAGGGTCTTTTGTTCTCCCCCGGACTTTCTCAGGCTGCGGATCAGATCTTCTCTCTCAAGATCTTTTAACGTTTCCTAAACAACAGTTTTTAAAGGAAATGTTAAACACAAACTTATCTGTTCAACTCATGTGATCCAGCAATACTGAATACTTTGTTTGTTTTTTTTTTTAAATCAGTGTGACTCATCGTAGGTGCCAGCCCAAACCTCTCACGTTGAGCACTGGTGCCAAACATTTGTCATCACGGGTGGTAATGCCCCTATTGCTTATATTTAATAAACAACAAATGTTCTCACAGGCATCCTGTCAAATCTTCATTGTTCTGTATTATACTGATGGTGTTTTCTTGCATCCTCAAGCCACAAGATCATAAGAAATTGCGGCATGGTTTGGGTGAACTGACCAGCTTCTTGAGTCACGCAGTACAGCCTGCTGCATTAACAAATAAATATTCCTCCAGGATGCACAACTTTTATATGGGAAATTAAAACCAATTTTCCAGTGGAAGGACTTTCTATATAAAGGATGAAAATTTACAAAGAGTTCTGATCTAACTGAGGCTCCTTGGGACGGATTCCTTCCGGGTAACTTGCTCTATTTTAGCCCTTCATCCCTCTTCTACTGTTGTGGCCCTGCACAATGCAGTGCACAGTGCACTGCAAAGCTCTGAAATACACCTTTGTCTGCATGAGCGTGAAATGCCAGGAGTTCATGTGCAGAATATTAAGCGTATGCTTAAGTACCACGTTGGATCAAAGCCTTCTGTCAGTAACTGTTTGGTTTCAAGGTTGAAATTAGTAATCTTATTGCTGCAGACAGATGTGACATGAGAGGTGATGTGGACGGATGGGAGCCCCTCTGCTCACGCTCTGTGCTGGCTTTAATTGAGCACAGTGCTGCATAATAATGCTATTGGCTTCTAGCTGGTCCTGTTTGAGGCAGGGAGGACGTCTACCAGCATCTGTCTGTATCAGTATGCTGCAGCCATGCCTAAGCATGCTTGGTCAAGGCCTCCTGACTTGCACGGCCCGTCCTCCCCTTAGGTGAGAGCCCCCACTGCCCAAACGTGAACCTTTTGAACTGCTATGTAAGCTTTATTGTATTTCTAACTCTGGTTGTTTCTAACCCTCGAGCACCAGCGATGCCTTAAGAAAAAGAGCTTCCAAGGAATTCCAGCAGAAACGATGCCAACCTTTCCACAGACCTCTCCAGATCTCTGAAAGTATCTGAATATTGCCAGTGGAGTAACTTCCCCCACTCTTACAGCACAATACGAATGCAGACCCAGGCAGTTACTGTGAAGTTGTTTGAGGATTATATGTTTGCAATATCTTTTATTTCAGAGTAAGTTTCCTGCATGAACAAGAGCCCAGTAAACTCTCTCTCTCTCAAATATCCACAACCCAATCAGCTTGATTTAAGATATATGCAATTGTAATCATAGAATTTCTAATATGTAGGATAATTTGAGTAATTATGCCAGGCACAAACAGATTTTTTCATGCCTTATCAAGAGCTATTTATGAGCACAAAAGGGCATTTCAGTATTTCTCTTCCATGGTGAAACTTATCAGCGTTGGTAGTAACTTCATACAGAGTGACCAAGATGCAGATAAGACTTGTTTCCCAGGGAAACTAGACAAAATACTTGATCTTTCCTACTATCCAGTTCTGCCATAACAACACAACCCTTCCTTCCTTCCTTCCGTCTCCCTCCTGCTATGCTGTACTGCCGTCCCTCCCCAAGCTTTGTGAAATTCCAAGATCAAACGGTTTTAATCTGTTCCCACAGAGAAAATAATCTAGACAGAAAAATGACAAGTGAAAAAGTTAAGCAAAAGGAGGCGAGTGGGGAGACAAGTTCCATTTAAACGAGTGACAGTTTAACTGGGACGTGTGACCTTCAGAGTTCAGTCCTCTCTCGAGAAGCGTTTAGTCAGGAAAGCAATCATTTTGACATTAGTGTAATTACTCACTCCAATAAAGGCGTGCACAAGATCAGTCCTTGGGTGCCCTTTCTCGCTTTCTATGCTGAGATTTTTCAGAGGGCCGCAGTTAGACACCTAAATCCTACTAAAATCTAATGAGAATGGAGTATTAACTTGCTTAAGCTCTTTTGAAAAGACCAGCCTTATTTTCCTTCAACACTCATCTTCTTTGCCCCTAATCAAGCCATTTCTAGCGAGTAAAGCAAGTATGACTTTTCAGTAGGAAGCATCCAATATAAATAGCACATGAGCTAACTAATAAATTTGACTTATTTGGCACAATACCCTAAATCATGTCTATTAAAATACTATTAAATGATGAGAGCATCAGTTATAATTAAAGCTTGGTATGCCCAGTAGCTGCCACACCAAATCGTCTGTCCACAGAGCAGAGGTTTTCTGAATTTTTTTTAACAAAGAGACTCTTAAGTAGTTCAGACCTGACATTTGGGCTTGTTTAAAAAAATGGAAAGGAAAAATAGAGTTTAAAAGGAATATAACCCATCATGGGTAGGAATGGTTTTATCATTTGTCTTCCAAAGGGCAGCAGACTTCTGGATTTCTTAGCTGCTAACCTAAACGTCTTAGGAAAATTAGGCCATTCCACTTATTACAAATGACACCCCCCCAAGCCACATATATTAATGTATTGGTGTGAAAGCCTTTTCTCAGAAGGAGCAGAGCAAGCTTGAAGATCTCACGCTGGGAAAGGCAGGCAGACACTCAAGAGGAAGGTCTTCTGCATGCAATTAAGAGCCCAGGGCAACCGCTGTGCCAGGAGGCCACTTGCTTGCTCAAAGGCTAGAGACCCAGCCCTGCTGCTTGCCAATTATTTTTATGCGATTGTTCTCTGTCTGTCTGTCACCCCCCCTTGGCACAACCTTTGAGCCAGCTGGCCAAATACACCCCCAAACCTGCCGCCGCGATACTGCTGCCTGCCCCACAGGTTGGGGCACCACAGGCAAGGGTGCAGGGTGCAGGGAGCTGGAGACACACAGGTGGGTGCATGCAGCCCCAGGAGGGGTGGAGAGCACCCACCCAGTGGGCTGTTAATTCTCCTTGTTCTGGCTAGTTGCCTGCCACGGCAAGGGGAGCTGAATGAGGTTATACACAGAGCTAAGCACAGAGCACCTCGATGACTTGGTGGCTCCTAAAGACAGCTCAGCCATCCTCAGGATTTATTTCACCTAGACTGAACTTATGATCAGGCAGATTATTTCATTTTATAGTGTGAATGTGCTTTTGTTAAAGGAAAGTTGGATGGGATTTTTATTACTGACCAGATTCTGGCCTGACTGATATAATCACTGGAATCCCATTGACGTCAATGGGGTTGCCTGGATATAAGTAGGGGCAGACTTTGGCCCCAGTATTCATATTATTTGTGGTAATAAAAGGAACGTCCTGATTCTCCTAAGGAGTAATCGGAGACCAAGAGCACAATTACTTTAACAAGTGTTTCCACTTGCTGCTTTACTTGAAAATCACATGATTTTTGGTTGTTCTTAACCCCTTATTCATTTCCGTAAACTAACTTAGTGGCCACTGCTGTGGAAAATAAATATAACTACAAGAGTTTCACAGATCCGTAAGATTATGGGAAGAGCCTAAGAGAAATTTTAATCTCTGATCTTTATTTTTATTGACTATTTTCCAAGATCATCCTCATGATGTAACTTGTATCCTACTAGTCTGGTACAGTTTTTCCAACAGCTCAAAACTTACTCAAGAAAAATATTCAATTTGGAGATGTCTCGTCTTTATAAGTTGAAAGTACTAGTCATTTTAAGTCATAAGACTATGATACATTCAAACTGAGAATAACATTTTTCTTGGCTTCACAAACACCTCTCTCTTAGGCCATCTAACAATGAATGACTAGAGCTCTGTGAAGAAGTAGCTGCCAAAGGAAGTATATTTGTATCTTCCAGAAGGGGTTTCATCAGAGATAATAGTAAAGTAGCTCATTTCACAGAACTGAGGAAACTCCCCAGTGTATTGGATGCTGCAAGTGCCCTCATGGTTTCTCAGAAAGATTTTACTGTAAATATACACAAAAGCGCTGCCTACAAAAATTGCCAGTGCTTAAGCAAAAGATAATGTAACATATAAGAATTACCACCAGGCAAATACTACCATTCAAATATGGTCTCAGCTATTGTACACTTTTATATTGTAAAATAACTTCTGCTTTTGTAAGGTACAGCAATTAAAAGTTCTTCAGCTGTTCACAAAGGGGGCAGTTAAGGTGGTATTTCCATATTCTATTCATCACTGTGCCAAAATCTAGTTCTAGAAGAAAAAAAACGCTTTAGATATTCAAGTGGAGACGCACCTCTCCCACTAGTAACACCCTGGGCTGGTTATACTCTGGTATATACACTCTGGTCATAGTTATAGTGTTTAATTGGACTTAGTAGTTGAAGACCACTGTACAATCATCAGACTACAGTGTCTGATCTGCAGCAGCAATTTGTTCCAGATTTGAGCTAATTACCTTCAAGAGAAAAACACCAGGGCTCTGCAAAACTTCCCGTTCCTTTTGCTCAGATTAGTTCAGACAGCGTTCTACAAACTCCATTGCCCCAAGTACTGTGGCTCAAGACAATATGGCTGGCCACGTGACTCCACAAATATGTGGTTAATACATCACCTGGAAGCAATGCAGTCTAGACAACACAGTAAAAAGAAACAGTAGCTTCAGCAGTACAGAACAGAGTTTCTAAAATGTGAGATTATAGTTCTTGTTAAATATAATTTTCTTAGGGAAATAGCCAGCTACACTTTACTTCACAGCCTTAAAAACTTCTCATGGTCTGCTCTTCCTCCAGCTCACTCTTCAGTTCAGCTAGGCGCACCTCCTGCTCTCCAGAAAGTGACACATTTTCAAAAATAGAAATGCAAAATAGACTATTTCAAACACATTAACTATATTCGTCTCCCTTAAATAAATACATCCATTCAATAATGTTCTTGGGAACAAAACAAAACAAAACAAAAAAAATTCAGTCAGGTACTGAAAAGGGAAGGTAGAAAGGAACCAGAATTAAGATAGATGTTTTTTCAAGCAAGAAAGGCATATGTTACCCCAAACCATCTAAAAACTACCCATGCAATTCTATTTACTTAATGGGGTTACTTCAGTGCAAGTTACAGAATTTGTCTAACGTAATACTGACATGACAAGACAAATACCTTACCTGCTACCTTGACCTGGTTGGCCCTGCAGGCCCTGCATGACAGTACAGGGAACTCTTCTGCCTGGTACATGGAGTAGTCCGTGCTTGCAACCACAATCGTATCTCCAGGTTTCCAGGAGCTCACATCATCCGCCAGGTTCAAGATTGTGCTGTTCACATTGGTGTCAATGGTTACCGTAAGCTTGGGTTTCACTAAAGAGGAGAAATGGGAGGGTGGGGAATTCAGTTAATCTTATCACAAAGTGCTTGCTCTGCTTACTCATTTTTTTGCCTGGCATACCACCAAAAATGATGATTTCCTCATGCAACATGAAACAGTTAACTCTTCCAGACATACTCTTTACTGGTTTTGGTTTGGAAAGCAAGCAAACGAGAAAGTGTTTTCTGTTGTAAGCAGGTGGATTTTCCTCTAATTGCACAACCCAATTTAAACATAGTTTTTAGAGACTCGTTTTCAGCACACGCACTTAGCAACAGCACTTATGGACCCTGGGCACTGGTATTTACAGCAGCCAAGTGGTCTTTAACATAATGCCTGTTTTTTTCCAACAAACCATTTTCCAACCTTCTGTTCCCACCAACTGAAGAATCCTGTCTAATAACCAGGTTAGGACAGCAGGGTTGGAATTAGGAACTACAAAACAAATTATTACTTTTAAAACTTGTTGTCTTCTTGTACACTAAATTAGTAATCCTACCTCATCCCAAAATGCTTTAGTAAAAGTCAAGATACGTAAAGAAGAGACTTGCCAAGTATTTGCCATAGCATTGCTGGGTTTTAGAGACACCACCCTGTTATCTCTGTTAGTGTTCAAGAATTTTTCCTCAGAAATCATCAGCCAAAAGAACACCTGTCTGTGTTCGTGTCAATAGCCCAGGCAAAACTGTAGCTCGGGAAATTACTGCAGCAATTCTTACACTGAACAAAAGTCACTCATCAGAAGACATTATTTCTGCTTTTCCCTGGTCTGAATTAGGCCTATACTGTCTACCTCAGGCAGAGCACTCGCTGGAGAGGACCACAAGGTCTCTGGGTACCAGCAAGAAGAATATTGCACAAAATTCAAGTTTCTCAAACGGATTCTCTTTCTTAGGGTGTCATTCCTGCCCCCTCCGAACAGCCATGCTGGAGGAGGAGGAGCACAGAACAGGCCCTCCGAATGACACGACAGTCTGGCTTTCAAAAACGGCTCGCGTACATACCAGATTTGCCACACAGGAACCGTACTTTGTAGTTCTGGCAACCCGCGTCTGTCTGGTCCTTACCATGGCACAGGAACCTATAATCATGGCCACTTTTGTAAAAAACCTCAGTTGTTAAATTAGCTCCATCAAGCGTCATTGCCTGAAATGAGAACAGAAATATGAAATGGATGATACCTAGACATGAAGGGATTTCACCTACACACTGACACCTTCAGAAAAGGCTATTGCTTTGTTTACAGAGGAGGCACAATAGTTGCGTAACAAAATACGATGACTGTTACATGTACTATCCAGCCGGCATTCCAGCTGGTGCTCAAACAGAGCTACTTTATGTGCAGACTGCATAGATCATTGCTAGGTGTATGTGTTTTTCCCATATCTATATTAAGACCATGTGCTTTTTTTGGAAGGAGTATTCTGAGCTTTGCTAACATCTGCCTTGGTGCCCTAGATTTTCACTTGCCGTTTGTTTGGGCTCAGATGAAAATGCTGAACGCAGATGCTTGTACCCAAATGAACTCACGGTTTTCAAGCCTCTTGACTGCACTTGTTTCATTACTTGTGGCTAGACTATGTCTGAGCCTTGCAGAAGAAAGAGACGAGGTGGGGGATGCGTATCTTACTTCTTCTTTGCATGGACCAGTGATAGCTGCTATCTATACCAAGAAAAGCTGTTTCAACATCCATACTGGAGCATTGCTCCAAAAGGAACAAGAAGAGGTGGCATTTTCCTACACATACATACCAGCCTGTAGAGCTGGCTTGAGAAAAAAGCTATATCATCCTAAGAAGCCATGTGATAAGTTGACTCTTCTGTGTTCCTGCTGGAGCAATATCACCCCGCAGGGTCACGTTAAATTCCACGATCTGGCTCTGAGGCTTGCAGTTCTCCTGACGCTTTCGCAAGAATGTGATGTGTTGCATTGGACAACCCAAATAACACATACATTTTAACAAAGTATCGGGAAATAAAACATCTTTCAAAGATGAGCCTGATCCTGCATCTCTCACTCGTGCAGACCTTCCTTATTAATGCAGACACTACACTGCCCTGTACGGGATTAGCACCACCAGCTGAAGGAATGTGCCTCTGGCTAGGCTATGCTTCTGTTATTATCATTTTATCTTCAATTTTCTTGTATGTAGCATAGCTGGAGTAGGCCAGCTGGTATAAATCAGTGTAACTTTATGAAGTCAATGAGTAACACCAGATTACACTATGTGAGGATTTTCCCTAAGATCCTGAGGATAAACTAAAAAATGCTGTTTCACTTTTAATATACATGGGAAAGAAAAGTAGCTGTAATTTAACAGGACCAAAAAATAGTTTTGATTCTTGAACAGAAGAATGTATTTTTTGCTTCCCTTCTAATACGCATGCTAGAAGGGACTGTACGATAATGAACATCTGACCTCTGTTCCAAACAAAATTGTCACTTCAAATATATACATATGGAAGCTGAAATGAATATGAATTTGCTCAGACCTGGCAGAAAGTTATAAGACAATTTTTTCCTTTCTGTTCAAGGAGGAGATTCTACATCTAGCCTTGGAAACTTTCACTCGTACTGTCAGCATTCCCATTTACTTTAGCAGCAGTATTCTTATGAATAAGGACAACTCTACTAGTTTAGAGTATGCAGGAACCTCAGGTTCAGCCTCTCACTGATACAGAGTATTTTATTGTCTTTTGCTAAGTAATGCTTCTGCTGTTGTTTTACCAAATAGGTAATGTAAATATATGGCTGGCACCTACCAAGAAAAGCTTTTTTGCGAGGAGGAAGCCTTAAAGAGCCTTTTCAGTCTTGGAAAAGGTATACAGTTTCTCCTCCGCATGCTGGCCAGATGGTGTAATTAAAACATTTACCCCAAATAGATTTCGAATTTCTTTCCACAGAGAAAAACCAATTGACTCAAAGAAATGGCCGCAAGCTCACTGACATTTTTTCCAACCTACCAGTTGGTAGCTTTACCATCTCATTACATTCTGTGATTAATTTTTCAGGTAGGATTCATTCCAGAACCATTTAAAAACTTTGAAATTTTCATGTGTTTTTTCTTTTAATCTTCCAACAGGGAACCACATATTTAATGGTACATCTGTGCTGTCTGTAACCCCATCTGTACTCCTGCTCATGCCAGAAGCTAGAATTTACTGAAGGAAGCTTAATTCTATTACGTTTTGTCTCAAAAAGATACACAAGTTGGATATCAGATCTTGTCAGTTATGTATTTGAGCGGTAAAATTATCAGTGTCTTTTATTTAGAAACAAAATTCACTGACAAGCACCATATTTTAGGTTCGGGTTTTCACTCCAAAAAGGACTCGATCCATCTCTCTAAAGAGAATAGTAAGCAAGCCTACCTGGATATCAATGGGTTGACTACAGATTTTATCAGGATGAGCAGCTTTGAAGTCAGAAAGCTTCTCCGTGTCCTTAGATCTTGCTTTATCAGGCTTCTCAAACCACTCTGTCCACTCTACATCTGGAGACAAGTGCAAACAAGAAGTCATTTGAAAGTCAAGCTTAATGAATGCAGCAAAAATGCATAAAGCATAATTTGATCTCAGATATCATTCACAAGTTTCTTCAATGATCTGATTCCTGTCTCTTCCTGCCAATCTGTCAGCTGCTCTTAATGATTCTGCAAAGTGTAACTAGTCAAGGGAGATTGGAGTTATTAAAAGCTGCGTAATTGGAGTATGCAGTACGAATATTATTAATTAGTTACGGATTTTGGATCCACGTCCTTCTCCTTAGCTGCCTTTTCTGATTTTCAGATCAAGTTACAATCAGTTACAATATGTTGTCTGAAACATGGACATGATGACTACGCAGTCGAAAGAAATAAGAGGTTGTGTGTGATCTCTTAGATCATTAGAGATGGAATTTCATACTCAGTGCAGTAAAGGAAAAAGGATCCTGGTTACTCAGAGGGACCTGGGGACAACTGGGGAAAGAATCTGTGCATATTCGCTACTTGGGTTAGCAGCAATGAAAACAGCAGCAAGCAAGTCCACTCTTCCCAAGGGACAGGTGTTGCAATAAAAAGGACCATTCCAAAAAGGATTCACCCTGTTTGTCAGCTCCCTATCATTGAGCTAAGTGGCAAACAGACCTCTTACCTTGAACCCACTCGCTCGTTGAAGATACATTAAAATGTTCTCCATTCTCAGCTTGGAATAGTTTGAATACTTTGGCCACTGCTGACCCTTTGTGACCTGCAAAATAGAAATGACTGGTAAAATCAATGTCTGCAGTCAATAGAAGTCAGAAGTGAAAAGGTAACGATCCATGTGTGCATTTCCATATTTTGGACATGTAATCCAGGGTGAGTCCTGCACAGCTTCCAGGAAAAGTTCTTGATCTTAGAATGAGGTTTCAGACACTTTCAAAATGCTTGGACAATCAAGAGGAAAAAATCTTCAAAAATCAAGGGGGATATAAAAAACCCTAACAAGTTGAGTACATCACTATTTTTACTTGATGTTGTAGTAAGTCATGTCATTAGCTGTTTTGGCAATGCCATGAAAAGTCACAGTAAGCATCACAACTCTTCAGTTTACAAGGATATGGTATTGCAAGAGCTTTTGAGGCTACTAGTGCAGGACACACTGACTTACATTTTCAGCTGATGTTAACTGGGATAGTCCCATAGTTGTCTGTCAAAGAGAGAGGCAGATTGAGCGCAGTAGAGCTACATGGATTTACACTGGTGCAGGATTTGGCCTTTTATCTCAGAGTTCAGATAGCCCAGGTTGTGCCCCACTCAGCTGCATCACCTCATGCGTTAATGGAAAGAAGTAATATATACACAGAGCATACAGCTAAATATTTCTTCCCATCAATTGCTCACAGTTTCAATGTAACGTAGTGTCAAGTGAAAACACCGCTGACCAAATTAATCTCAGCCATAACTGCAATACTTCCATAGATAATGTCAAGCAAGCGTTTTGTGCATGAATTACCTTGATATTCGATGTGATCTTCAACAGAAGAGGAGGGATTTCCTTTAACGGTAATAAAACTCCATGGGTGCCTGGGAAATCAAAATGAGAAATGATCAAATTATTTCATTTATGAGATTCATATTTCTTAAAACACAATGTTTGTGCATCTCTCAGTGGCACCACATTCAAAACAGTCTATATGACAGGCAGTTTGGTCAAAATTAAAAATATCTTAGCACTGTATTTTTTCACTAAATATATCACAAGAGAAGGGAAGCTCAAAGTCATATCTCTTCTTAATATACACCTGTAATTTGTGAGTTTCTCTCTTGATAGAGTGTTTAAAGAGGCTTGTTTGCGACAGACACAGGACACTGGCATCTCCTTGGGGAGCCTGAAAAATCTGCGTGTGTGTGAGCGTCTGCGCGCGTGCGCATGCATGCGTGTGCGTGCATGCATAAAAGAACATGAAAAAAGTCATTCGTGCTTAAATGAATTTAGCTAAAATCTTATATATCACAATTCTCTTTGGAGTATCCCATGAGAATTTCAATTAGATGGATTGGCTGGCAAAGTGCAATAAAAAATGCCTGGATAGCCTCTGAGCATATAGTTTCCTCATTTTGAGCATTGAACTGGGGCAAAGGGTTCTGAGTCTGAATCATCTGTTCAGACCCGATCCTGTGTCAGAAGTAAGTTCATTATTATCCGACGATTATTGGTTGAGTGGGTTCAAGAGCTATCAGTGACACTGGAAAATGAACACATGGATGAGTAAGCCTGGAGGACAGACGCTGAGGTCCGCTGGCAGCCTCGGAGATGAACCCAAGTAGCAGGGGTCAGGAGGGAGTTTTATCTTGTTTCTGTCTTCGAAACTGAAGAATTCATCATATTTCTTCTCAGTGACTAACAGAATAAACGCGCTTTCAGAGAGGCTGTCACGCTTACCCTGCATTTAGCAAATTGTCCCACAGATTAAATTGTGTCTCTATCGGTAAAAATATTCCGTGATTTCAGTAACATCACGATTCATCCTTGAGTCTTGCAGGTCACTTTACACTTCACATCTGCTGGTGTAAGTGATAGCATACACCAGCCTTGGACCTCCGAGGAGAACATATACGGACACTGACAGCGGCTGAAACATGTGGCGCTAGAGAAGCACGTGTGGGAAGCTGCCAAAACAACTGTGTTGAGAGCCGGCCAGCGAGCTGGATGCTCCTGTTGGAAACTCTGCTGGCACGCCACCCACCAAGGCCCTGCAGGGCTGTCACCCCCACTTGAGAGAGAAGGGGTGCCAGGCACAAATGATATTTTATCACTCAGCAGGCAAGATAGACAGACGCGTTATTTTTTGGTCCCCAAAATTTGAAACAAATGACAAAAAGATGATAGCTTCAAAACAGACCAAAAATAATCTAAAAAATAATAAGCTAGCTGCTTTTGTAAGCCAAGGTTTGGCCTCATTTTCATATGTTATTCGTTTCCCCTAGTTAGTTTTCCACTAACAGCATTTTTAAACCAGTTCATCCTTAATGCACGAGGACACATGCAATCTGTCTGGGACATATGAAGTGGAAGGACCAGTAAATCCAGTAAAAGCCAAACCAGCGCTACTTGGCTGAGGTTCCAAGGGGAACAACTGTGTCATCAAGTGCTGAAAGGCTTTCTTTTAATTTATTAGTAGAAGGGAAAATAAAAGCTCACTCGTAAAGAGCAAATTCACATTTCAATGGGACAAGAGTAGAGGAGGAATGTAAAGATTTTCCTTTCATTCCTCATGTTCTGGACTCAGCAAACAGCAATGGAAAGAGATGCCAGGAGCACAGAAACTGGGTCGGATACACCCGCATTGCTCATTGGCTCTTCTACAGCCATGGGGATTTATATGACTTTACAATCTGGTTGAATATGACACAACTGGAAATAGACAGACATTTGTCACTACAATCACCCCCCTGCTAGTCAGAAAACTGCCCAGCGTATAGCTGAATACCTTTCTGAAAAACACCTGTGGGTCAGGTGTGTACACCCCGACTCGTAGGTATAGACATGGCTGAAATGGAAACCAGTACGGCTAAAGCCTGTTATACTTAAGTGAAGCAGTAGGTCAAACTGCATAAAGAGAAAAGCTTTTACACGTCTGACAAAGTTACCTGTCTTCCAGTCTGCTCTCTAACTACCTCCATCAACCTGGAGGCAATATTTTTACCCTCCAGGCAATATTTTTTCAAAGATGATAAATTTAAGTGCTGAGAACACTCCTAAAAATACATCCCTTTAAACATGCACCAGGATGCAGGTATTTTTGCACATATCTGTCATATGCTGGTAGGAGACAATATTCACCAACTACTACCACACTATGGTTCCCACAATGCCACTATTACTTGTATAGGGAAATATTGTAGTATTTTGGATAACAGCAGGGCAAGAATTAGCTTGTTGATTACAAACAGTAGCAATGCTGAAAATCACACTACTATAGTTGAATTTCTATGGGTATTTCCATTATACGTATTTACGACAAAGAAGTGAGAACTAACATTAAAACACAGCAGCAGTCTAAAAACATCAAGAGCAATTTCCTTTTATAAACATATGAGAAAACCATCATTTTTCTTCCTGTTGCAAGATTGGGGAAAAAAAGTGTCATGTTCAAAAAAACCTTTTTCTGCTTCCATAACTTTAGTCTTTAAACAGAAACCCAGCAGGCTACGGGTTCTGGGTATTTGAGAGAAGCATTGCGTTGATGGAAATAGGCTATTTCTGCAGCCTTGATTATTTGTCTGAAATTCTTTAACCAGTGCACAGGAGTCCCAGTTGTATTTGGCACAAACTCTTCACTGACTCCCCCAAAAATAAACCATCTGCACTGCACTCCAAGCTGGCACTTGTCTGTTCCCAAAGAATCACTTATCCCTGCAAAGTAGTTTTTTTTTTTTTCATGTTCTACAGTGACCCCCTAGTGCTTGTACAGACTATGGTCCATAGAGGAACAAACATCCTCAAAAAAAAAAAAAAAGCCTACATAAATTCAGATAAACACAAAAAATATAATGGCTACATTTGGGAAAAAAGCACATATTCTCAAAAACAGTGTATGTTCCAGCATAGACACTATATGGGCCACAGAAGTAGTTACAGTCCACAGCATAAATTTAATGCATGCTAAATTATATGCTGCACAGCTCCCAAAATATGTATTGGATAAGCTGAAGAATATACAGTGTGCATGTCTGTATGCATTTAGCTACGGCTATATGGCTATTCTCCTAACCTCCTTAATGTTCAGCCCATCCAGTCCAGTGTGTGGATGTAGATATGCTGTTCAAATCTTTGTAGGACAGCTTGAAAATAAATAGGAATGAGTAACTTGTGAGATTAACATCTTGGAAAAATGCATCTTTTTTTAATGTGAATCATATGTTATTCCTCAACCTGCTAATAAAAATGCCCAGTATAGACGCTGAGTGCATCTTAAACTATCCAATTAACCGCTAAAACTTCATATTGAAAGTTTCCCTCTTTTTTTTTTTTCCATGTGAAGAACTTTGTGCCTTTGAGAGAGTGGAATTATTTGGGCACCCAAAGAGCATAATAAAGCCTCTGTGCTGATAGAGCTGGCAGGGCAGGCACATACCTAAACCCAAGGTGGAGGAAATGCCTGCTGCCCAGTTTGGTCATTGCTTTCCTTGCTGCGTCGTCCAAGTTTCTAGATCCTTCATCATTCACTGCAACCGACAGGATCATGCCATCTGCAACCCTACCCAGATACTGGGCAAGGCGCATACTTTCCCCTCTTGATCTGTAGGTATCAAACCTGAAGTGGTAAAAACACCCCCAAACATTTACTTCAATGACCATCACAGCTTTTTGCACTGACAAGCAATGTTATAAATAAATCAATTTTTTTATATTGCTCACAACAGTTGCTTTTTCCCACTACAAATGTACTAGACAACGAGATAGATTGGGAGATTGCACTGCCTTGTCTAAAAGGATACATTAGGGGTTTCTATTCAACTGAGCTGATTAAGCTCTAGTTAACAGTTTAGCAAGACAATAACATTACTCATTCTTTGATTTTGGAGATTACTTAGCTAGAAAGAATTGTTTAGTGGCATGCAATAACACCCATTGAAACTAAATGCTGAAATGCATGTCTCTGAGCTTCCTGAAATGCTTTCCCCAACCTGTTCCCAAAGAGCCTCAGACCTAGGTAGTTTTAAAGAGACTCACCGATCTGAATGGACAACTGCTCCAGTCTTTGGGTCAATAACATGGACAATGACACCTCGATGGCCCCAGCTCCTTTCAAAGTAATATCCACCTTCTTCCATGCCACCAGGATGGAGAGTCTTGTTTAAGAAAGTCCAGGATAACTTTTTCTTTCCATGGATCTCAAGAGTGCCACCTTTACTTACTCCAATATACTTTCGCCCAAAGTAGGGATTTGGCTGGCTGCCATCATCCGCTCTGCAAAAGGAAGAGAACAAAGAGTCCGATTTTGTTTCAGTATCTGATAGGCAAGAAGCCTCTTCCCTTGTTCTACTATGGCCCAAGGATAGGAGCGTCATGATTTGCAATACGTTTCTTTCAACAGCCCTAAGAAACAGCAACTGCTCACACTCCACAGAAGATACGTTATTCGAAATAAAACTAACCACTACTGAAGATCAGCAACAATCTGAATCACAAACTATACAGTATTATATTCAGGCCTGAAGCCCAGGCTGAACACCACATTTACGTTTTTGAAGCAATTTCCATTGGAAATTAGGACCTTAACTAGGAGTTAGCAGGTTTTGCATCCTTGATAATCCTAGAGAGCCTGTAGTATTCTGCAAGACAGAAACGTCTTATCCTTTGGCTCATTTGCTTCTCACTCTTACAGAGAAAGAAAGGATGTTTAGGGAGGAGAATTTTCAGAATAAAAAACTCTTAAAAAAGAAAACACATGTTAGGCTTAAAACTTAGCCTGCAAAATCTAGCAATCGACTTGTGACAAGGTGTATGGTGATTTTCTGGCATGACCAATAGGAAATGAAATCAGAAACAAAGCCGTGTCAATTTTTTAAAGGTCTAACAAGCTATTGAACTTCCCCCATAGCACTGATGATAAGTATATCTGAGGAAATGTAATTTTAAGGAACATTTTATAACCCTTTGCTGTGGAAGAGGTATCCTAGCAAGTTCTAAGGTAATATTTTATTGTGCATACATACCGCCCATATAAGATGATGGCCACATTGCTTTGGTAAGGGCACATCTCACTGCCGATATGTAACTCTCCACCATTTTCAATGAGTATATGTCTAGTACGCAAAATGATAGGCTGCACGTCGTCTTTAATAACCAGTTTTCCTAAATAGAAAAGGTTATGACACTTACTTTAACTCATAGCAACTCAGTCAAGGTTATGATACTGCTGTGCTAAACCCAATGCTGAGCTCTCATCTAAATTGTTGAGAAACGCTAGCCATGCTCCCCAAAACAGCTCTCAGTCCAAATCCTGAAGACATTACATATTTTTTATTAAGTCCAGTTCTTGAAGAATGTAATTAGAGATTTGTATGGAAAAGGACTTCATTCAAATCTGAGACAGAAATTCAGAGCTAGGATTAATAAAAGCTGTTCATGCTAGCTTGCCAGTAACACTGACTCTGTCTTTATAGATAAAGAGGCACATACGCATCTGCCCTGTCCTGAGACTCTGAGAACATAACTATTTCATTATGATGTTATCAGCACAATGATTTAGTAAAAGAAAAATGTTTTTGAAGCGAATTGCAGAAACAGAACTATTGAATATACTGAGGTACTTTTGTAAATTCTCCAGAAAGTGCAACAAATAGGTTAATTATAATGGCCAAAGAATGGATAGCATCTCGGCTACCACCCACGCTTGTTCCACATTAAAACTGGGTTTGCCCAGTAGCCTTGTTCCCAGCAAGCAGCAGGAAGTCCTCCCAGCATTACATAGAGTGATTTAAATAGTCATAATGGAACGTATTCTTCACCCAGGCTTGCTACCTTGCAGGCAGCGTGTTTTACCTCCATCTGTGATGTGGATGGAGTGGACAGTGGCAGAAGATGAGAGAAGGAGCTTCCTGCCATCACGGATTTCAACATGGTTTTCTTCATTGTGACCTGGGTTCCAGTTTTCTAGCTCAGGATCCTTATCAGAACATGCCACAACTGCTTCTGCTGGATACAGATGAAGAGTAAAGACAATTATCTTTTGTTCAGTGCAAGGCAGAAAAGCTCCATATCTGTGCATCTTTACAGGATTATTCTCATACCCCCCCTTGCTGACCCCTAGGAATGCGGCATTATCTCTGCAATATCTCTGTCTTTTCTGACAAAAAGAAAATGAACAACAGCTTAAGATATATGATTTTCTGTACTCTGGAAGCACAGGCAAATCAGCTACCCTATGCAATGCATCCTTGCAAAGGATGCTGTGTCCAGAAAACTGCCAGAGAAAAAGATGCAAGTTAGCCCTTCCTATAGAGATATTCAGCTCTGTTCATAGAGAGACTCGGCCTCATGTGGTCTTTCAGACTAAACTGATAAGGATTCGTTCTCTTTAGGTTCACACATCCCTAGTCTCACACACATATTTGATTTCTGACTTTCATGAAATGTTTATCTAAACAAACCGCTCCCATACCAAATCCAAGAGTCTCATGTTATAAATATTTACTTAAGATAAAATATTTCGCCGATATAATCGCACGCGATATGTGAGCCTCACATTTTACTCTAATCAACAAAATTTGTGAGTGTGAGTCCCATGTGTGATGCATATTTTCTGATGGCAGAAACCTTTCTAATGCTAGGAAACTGAGGTCAGTGGAAGGCTGAACAATGACCTCTTTGCCATCAGAGAGAGCTGAGAGTTTTCACCAGCTCTCCAGTTTTTCCTTTAAAACTAAAAGACTATAAAAAAACTAAAGGATCCACAAACTCATAAGAATAGATGTGGGGTAAACTTTGGCAGGCTTAGGGTTCCAGCACTTAGGACTCTGAGGTTGGTTGGGCTTTTCCCCCGCTATGAATACCAATGCTTCCAGTTGATGGAAAAGACAGCCAGCATGGGTCCACCCACACAAGGAAACGTGTCCCCGAGCCAGCACAGCTGGTGGGGAGCTGCTGTCTGGATTCTGCCACTGCAAAACTTGGGGGACATCTGCAACGCCACGGCCACAGAAACAACATCCATCCATCTGTGTTCAGTTTCCTCTCAGATTCCTCTACCATTTCCATGTCTTAAGAAAACAATAGAATTGGACCAGTCACTGCCTGGATGTCTACAGGGACCCATTCAATACCAGCTCTTTAAGGTAAGCAAAGGACATTTCATGTGTGCAACAGATGGATGCCTTGGCTCTCTGCAAACTTTTCCTGTATAAATGAAGCAATCAAATCAGGGAAAAATAACAATCCACCGGGTAGCAAGTCAAACTGATAAATATCCAGGGCCTAATTTTGATACTACTTGTGCCAGCTGAAAACTGGAAGCTTGTCATTAAAGTCAGTGGCACTCTTTCTGATTTACAGTAATTGAGGAAAACAAGTACGAGGCTCCTGGTTTCTACTAGAAGATGCACAGAATTAATAAGAATTGGAAGAGATAAATATTTTAGACAGCAATGGGGCTTGCATAGTAAACATGCTCAGAGATAACTGCAATACACACTGACAACACATTCTAAAAATGATCTGCTACTCTTTTAGGAATAAGGGTAACTGAAAATTTGCTCACAATGAGGAGATAACTAAAACCAGAAGCACTGATTGAAATATAAAGGTGAAATTTAGCAATTAGGTTAAGTGGCCAAGATAAAAGCCTGCTGATTTTTAATTTATTTAGTTATGCTTGTGCCCAGAAGATCTTCATGTAAATTCAAAAGATGACTTTTGTCCCCAAAATTCATTGTTTAATGATAGTGAGAGAGAGAGAGAGACAGGAAAACACGAGGGAAAATCAAAAAGAATTTGTCCTGATGATTGGGATGACCATTAGAAAAAGTTAACACAGTTCAGAGCAAAGGACCTAAATTCCCAAATTCATTGACCCACTCCTACCAGAGGTTGCCACCTGCCCTGGTCCGTGTCCCTGCACCAGCGACACCACGGGCTCCAGAAGGCTACACACCCTCTGCTCGGCCATCCGAGGTGCTCTTTCGGCTTGGACTGTTACTCTCCCTGTCTTTTTTGCGGTAAGATCCCAACTGCTACCCAGCACAAGGAATTAATTCAGTGTCTTGCTTCTTGACCAAAAGGGCCCAAACGTGCCGATGAAAGGTTACTTCACGCTGTTGCTTAGCTGCAGCATTTGGGGCAAAACATTTGGTCTCTTTGTTTTAAACAAATAACCTCCCCCCGCAAAGTAGCTCTGTTTAGAATATGCATATACAGCTTCCCTTTCCCCCATAAACACTGAGGAGAAGGGCTGCCTGGAAGGGACCTGAAGTCTGTCGGCATGAACAGGAGGGTCTCACCCAGGAGCTATCTGCTCTCCACATATATACTTAGGCAACACAATAAAATGCTCAGACATCACCTCCCACAAGCACAGCTACTACAAGTCGAGGTTTGTTGTGTTACTTCTTTGCGGCAGTTTGTTTTGTTTTGTTTTAATACTGTGGGGCACAATCTGAAAGTCCTGAGGGTACTTTCACCTGCTCGGTACTTTCAGTCTTTGCCATTCCAGCTGCTCTAATTTAGGGATACCGGCAAGTCCAAAACTGGCTTTTCTCCTGAGTTTCCTCACCTTGTCCCTGTTTCTCACTATAAAAACTTTGATTAAAAAAATGCAAAACTGCTCAACCTATACCAGCATTGTCTTTATTTAAAAATGCTTTTACAGACTGTCTCTTTTTTCCCTGTTGCTGGAAAACTTACCTGTGCTTACTGTGGAGATTACAAACAGAAGCAAAACAAAGTTTTGCGCCAAGCACATGGAGGTAGATAAAGCCATTCTTCAGTATTCTTAACTCTCTGGATACCTGTGAAGACAGAATATCAAGCAAATGTGTAATTTTTTTCAGGTCAGGCAAACCCATTCACTATACAAAAAAGGTTATATCTAGTTTTAGGACAGCCAACTTTCACTCCCTCTGAGTTTAGTAGCTAAGGACGCCTCCATGCCACTTCTGGAACAGCTCGAGCAGAGCAAGAAACCCAAGGCAGCTCCTCACCCTTTGTTAAGTCTAAAATAAAACCACTTGGGATTCCAAATATATACACAGAAAGGAACCACTAGATGTAACCAAAAATTTCTTAGGAATGCAGTATAAACACATCCGATGTCAAGACTCTCTGGAGCTGAATATTCACATGTGCAAAAGAGTAACGAAATACAACAAGGAAGGAGTTTGCACAATTTGCACAAAAAGGTCTTTCAAGGGCACCTCCTGCTTTCTCCCCCACGTCTACCCACACATTTTCACCAGTTGTGGTCTGTGCACCCTCCAGCCAAACCGTACTCATGCTTTCAGTTTCTTAGACTTCAGATCCAAGAAAACACTATCTATTTAATTTGCCAGCCCAGAATTTTGTTGCAAAACCAAAAGTAGCTTTTGAAACCAGCTTACCTATGTTGTTTTCATTTCTGCAGTACCAGCCCCCCAGCAAAAACAGACAAGTAGTGTCATGACAGTCAAAGTTACAATGAATGTGATTCTACCTGACTTTCTCGACTGATTGATTCTGCAACTCTACCCCATGCTGGTGACAATTTATTGACATACATATTCACACAGAGGCAAAGAGATCCAATTCTGCAAGCATTCAATGATCTATATTCATGAGGCACTATTTAAAATTCACATGTAGTCCATTAGGTTTTATTGTTGAAGCCAGTATCAGAGGAACATGGAGAAATTTATTTGTAATTGTCATGGACACATCACAATGATAAAATAGCATAAACGTATGCATCATACAGCTGAATTATACGTGGAAAAAAAAGCAATTGAAAGAAACTCCAGGGTGCCCCAGTTCCTTCAGGGCAAAAAACCACATGTTAGTTTTCATGTCACTTGTTAATATAAAACAAACAAAAAAAATGAGAAAAAGGTATGCAAGAAATGAGGATTTAGTCTGGAGCAAATTCTGCAGTGTAAACACACATAACACGTCTGTACTCTCATAGAAGTGATACAATTTGAAGTATAACGATACATTCAAACCACACGTCATCCCATAGTTGTATTAAACATAGAACCAGATTTGCCGGGAAACGTTGCAGCAGGAAAATGTTTGCTTGCATTGGTACAGTGCATTTGACAGCCATGAGCTCTGGTAACGGCACAGACTCAGGGCCCAGTGCAGACTGCCTATCAGGTGCTGAAATGCTGTTACAGGCCAGCAGAAAAGAGGAATGCACTTAGTAACGCTGTAACTTCGAATGATATACATTATCAGAGAGCAATAATGTCGCCGTGGAATTTGTGCCAGAACCAGGCTGCACGTGTTCAACATTTTAACAGTATTAACCATCAACATTAGATAAGCCAGGTCTCTCTTAAAGAACATTATGAGAGTTACGCCTAAAGTACAGCAGTCACCATTAAAACGTCAGGATTTGTTAGCGATTATTGCAAAGAGTAATCCGTAAACCCAGTGACTAGATCTTGCTTTAACGATAGCAAAAAACCAAAAGACTGGTAATATCACAGGATGGTCATTATAGATAAGGGGGTTTTTTACAATGTGGACACAAGCACGTATTAGCATTGCATAAAGTCAAATTCCAGCTGGCAAGGTGTCGATTTTATAATGCAATCACATGATGCCAAAGTTCATAAAAATAAAGAGAAGGGACTGAATTTTTGACAGCGATGGCATGCCTTTACTTTCCTGTTACTTTGCTGGTAGCAAAGAAATTTCTTCTCTGTGGCACATTAAAACCTGTAAACTCGGAGGAACATCTCTGCTAGGTCAGAACAGCAGTCCATCCAGCTTATGATCCATCTCTGCCTACAAAACCAGTTGCAAAATAGGTAGGAATGGTAGGAAATGGTAGGAAAATAGTATAAGTAATTTCACAGTCTTTATCTCCTTTGAAGTCGAGAGCTGCCCAGTACTTACCATCAGGTTGTTGCAAATGGCTTTTTCTATCATATGTTACTCACAGGGGAACGCTTCCCTGATTGCATCTGCTTTCCTTAGCAGCTATCAAAACAAGCACTCAAACAAAACTGAAAATCCATCTCATTTTTGGAGGCATCAGTTTTATGCTGGGCTCCAATGTTTTTGCAGTGTCTGATCTGCTACAAGTCAAAGAATATCGTGCTTATTTTGTGAGTTAGGTAGCATGTTTAATTCAGCTCTCAGTGCGCAGAGTTATTAGCTAGCACTCGGGTTGGAAAGGCTGAGAGACGAGCGGGCCAAGAACAGCCTCTGCTACCAATGCTGACTCCTCTGATCCAGCCTGACTAGCACAGTGCCAGTAAAGCTCTGTTGGGAGGATAATCTCAGGAATTTTCTTTTGAAAGCGTTTAATTTAGCATCTTCCCCAAAATGAGATATAAACAGTAAGGTCTTTGATTGTCCTCATGCAAGAGGAGGAAGGGATAGTAACTCTCTTCATTAATGTCTCCTGCTGGAGAGGATTCAGGAATAGTTAGTTATCTCCTGCCAGTCAGTCGCCGTGTGAGCTCAGCGCACAGAGCCGCGTGGGAATAGAGCTATTGCACTGCATCGTACTTGAACAGACGCCACATTGCTGAGTTCAGCTATGATGTAACCACTTATGTCAACAAATCTCCCTGTAGGCTCAGGCACTCTGCGAGCGCAAGGGCCATACAAGTGTCCTCCTAAGTCTGTCTCAAAGGTTTCTCAAATACCATCTGTGAATCCTCTCTTGAAGGAGAAAAGCTTACTCATCTAGGCATGGAAAGCTGCCTGGCAATGGTGAGCAGGACACACATCCCTGGATCTGGCAAGGTGCACTTTCTGAAATGATTCCCAGCTGTTGGATCACTCCAAAGAGTGAACAATAGCAGCAGACAATGCTAAAAGTAGATACAGGAAACCATTAGCACTTAGCTGGCTGCTACTGCAGGTGTCAATAGCGATACTGTACTGGAAAGCGCACGCTGCAGTTAGAAAGCCTGATCCACCGGGGTCCCTGCAGTTTTAATGCTCAAGCCAACACGGAGCAGATGAATCTTAGGGCAAAACTGCAAACCAATGCTCCAAGGAGGCTGGATTCCCTGCAGACTGCATGGTGAAGTCACACAGATGCTCAGCCAGAGTCCAGGCTCTGCAGCAGAGCTGCCTCCTGGGCAGCACAGCAAAGCAGGACTTAGGAAAACAGAAACTAGGCTCTGTCCTTGACTCCGCACTTGCATGACCTGGGTCCAATCACCCAGGCCTGTGACCAAAAATTCAAAAAGTAACCCTTGTTTTTGGGTATTTTAAGGGGCTTTTAAAGCCCAGCTTGATACACTTTGCAGGATGTGCCTTGAGCATCTGCGGAAAATGATGCTCCTTTCCCACGTGTCAAGTGGGGCATAATGGGAGCATTAAGCCATGAGTTACTTGCAAACAGGGCAAGGATGGGATAGAAGCAGCAGCTACCTAATTTCCCCTGAAAAAGATGCCAAACAGGAGCAGTAAATTTGCCAAACCCCGGATGGCTGCTCCTGCTGCGCCTGTCCAGCCACCAACCCGTGCCAGGGCTGAATGGGGGCTAGAGTCAGCCCCAGCGAAGAGAAGGAAGAGTGGGACAAGCCTGAATGGAAAAGGTCCCATTTAGCCCGGCAGGGAGCGAGCTCCTCTCAGCAGGCGCTCCTCCGCACAGGTACTTGGAGGGCCTGTAAGTAAAATCTGTGACCCCAGGGGAGGGTCTGCTCCAGGAAGCCGGCAAGCCGGGAGCCCATGCCGGGGCTGTTAGGCTCCTGCTGTGCAAATCGGGGCGGGGGGGCCAAACCCCAACCCTTCCATGCCTTAGCTAGAAAAAGAGCAATTGAAGCTGTTGCTGAGGCTTCCGTGGTTTGATGGCGGGGTCGGCAGTATTGCTAGATGCCTCCTTGCCTCCTCATTCGTATGCAAAGCAGCCTAGGTCAGTTAGGAAGCTGATTCCTGAGAGACAGAGGAGGTGTTTAATTAGTGCCTCTGCTGCCTCCCTGCTGACGCTGCACAGGCAGCGCCCACTCCAGCACAGCTCTGCTCTGCCTTCTGCCTCTCACCGGGAATTTTACCTTTCAGCCCCGGCTGCGAAGACTGATTTGACTGGCACATTTGCCTTGCCGGCCCGAGGAAACGTCAGCAGCTTGTTACAGGGACATTCCTGCGCAAGGGGAACCTTTGTGCACCAGTCCGCCAGCATGGTTAAAGCCTTCAGACAGCCTTAGAAATAAACAAACATATTTCTAGGGATTGGTAATGAAAACGCCTTCCCAAACCCAGGGCGAGCAGCACAGCTGCATAGCTGTTCCTGATCAGCATCTTGATCTTGTGTCTGCCACCATTAGCCACTTTTCAAATTGAAAGCGCAGAAGAATTAAACTCAGGATCAGACCTTACTTTTTAATAACATCAGGACCTGGAGTCCAAAGCACTGCTCTGACTTTTTTCCCAATAAACCTGGGTTCCCTAACAATTTGTCCGACATCTTTTTCCCTACCAGGAAGAAGGTTCAGCTCACACCTTCCATATATAAACTTAGCTGCAAGTTCCTTAATTCCTGATATTCATAAAAACAGATTCTGAATGAGGAACTGGAGTTAGAGGGAGGTTTTTACAATCAATAAATTAAAGGGAACTAATGCGTTTGCAAACGTGGTACAATACTGGCAAACTATGCTGGGCCAGAAACAAAGGAAAATAATTACCACTTAATTATTAAGCTGTGCTTTTTTTCAGAATTAACCTCATTTTTGTGCAGGTTACAGACCTTGGAAAGGAAAAGAAATTTTTGGCTGGGATAAAACAACATTATTTGCAATTCACATCACTCCGCCCATTACAGGCTGACTGACTTCCAGTTTCAAACGCTTCCGAAGTGCTCAGCATTTCACTGCATTAAACTATCAGCCACTGCATAAAGTTTTCAAAGCATCAAAACAGTGGGAAACTGAATCCCATTTTCTGAAGCTCAGGACACACTGTATTTACTGTGCCCAATGACAATAATTCAACATACAGTCGGGCTCGTGCTTTCAGGAAGCACCAGAGCTACTGTGTATCCCTGCAGAAATGCTCTGGGGATGACCAGGAAGGCAGCAGGTCCTGAATGCATTAAATGTATCGAATGTGCCTGGGTGGGCTACAGAACACATGCACTGTCCGTGTGCGCTTCGGCATGCAGGAGTGCATACTCCTATCCAGGAAACACCAGAGACAAATACGACAGTACAACAAAAGCGCAACACCCGCACTACACTTACCACCGCAGCTTCACACACACAGACTTCTGGCGCGTGCAAACTCAGCAGCAGCTTTTGCAAACATCGTCCTGAGTGTCCAAGGAGGAGCCGTACCCTCTGCTGAATGTCCCTGGTTTTAAAGTCTGTTTTCCCTCTCCAGGTAAGGAAAATGTGTGCGGTGGCTCAAGAAGATCACAGCATCCTAAATCCTTTTCAAAATGCTGCTTTTAACTACTCAAATATCTGCATCAGGATGTAAATATTTTTCTTTTTGCTTTTGTGGTACTTTGCTGTTTGCATCTGGCTCACCACGGCTCCTGGCCTTCCTCTCCAGGACATTTGCCATTTGCTCTCATTCTGTGGCGGGAGGAGGAAGCCAGATTTTTCAGAAGTTTAGGCACATTCCTCGCCTTCCTTCACCAAGCTCTTCCTTCGCCAATTGTTTAGTCTCAGGCTGGGGTTGGAGCTCTGCAAAGTTTTATTGGGATCCAGAGTCTGGACCTGTCACAGATTATCAAATAAATCTTCAAGAAAATAAAGAGCTTGTTCTGTAAGTAGTTGTTCCAATGTTGGGCTAAAGCTCACAGCCAAAAACATCTTGCTTTTCTTCCCCTGAACAGCCTCAGAAATCATAACAATTATGTGCTAGTAGGAGTTCAAAAGGTCTTCAGACTGCTACTTGGAGGGTCAGTCCCAACCAGCTTGAGCTCTTATATCATTCCTCACCTCATCAAGGGCTCCCGTGGTGCCCGCTCCAGCTGGTGGAGTCTACTGCATCCCACTTTACGTCACCTTCCCCTAGCACCAGCAATGACTTCTTCACATTTTCTAGCAAGCCAGAACCTCTCCCCTCGCCAGACTCGGCTCCCACCTCTCCTACCTGTTGTGGAGACGGAGTCGCAGTCTCTTCTCTCTCCTCTGCCTGTCCCTGTAAACCTGTCAGGTGTCCTCTTACCTCCTGGTCCCCAGGGACCAAAGGGCATTATATATCTGATGGAGGTAAGCTTCTCACCAAAGGAGTCTAGTCCCAGCTCAGTGGCACAGTATTAGCTAGACGGCACGCGCGGATGCCAGAGCGACTTACTCACCAGGGAGCAAACGTCTAGCCAGCAGAACTCTAACCTTTCTCTGCAGCAACTTGTTTGGCCATTTCTGAGAATTTCAAAGAAACAATGGGACATCAGTAATGAAGCTGCCACCTACCTGGCTGAATAACCTGCGTGTAGCTGTCAGGAATTCAAAGGAAAGGAGAAGCAGTCATGTAAGACCCAAGTGAAATAAGGTTTAGCCTTGAAATGAAAGGCTTCCGTTATACTACATCTACTGGGAGGAAAAGATCAACCACATTCAATAGAAGAGCTAGAAAAAATCATGTCATTCCATAAAGAAAAGGTCTATAATGCTTCACAGATCTTTATATAGACACGGATTGCATGTACCCATTATAGACATGAAGGCACGTTCAGGGATGCACACATTTACCTGCATATCTGAACAGTAAATGTACCAATGGCTACACCTTTAGATTTCTCTCTGCTGGACAAGACCTATCACATATCAGTTTGCCTCATAAGCAAAAAAAGGATGAAGAAAAAATGAAGTTCTCTCCATTCAAAGAATCAAAACTTTGGCCTTTCTCTCTAAACTACTTTTTTTTTCCATTCGGATGCCCTCAGTCAAAACCATAGCACCAGCCCCGAAGCAAGCAAGAAAGCAAAGTATTGCCAGGATGACCAGAAAGCTGCTGAATCTTTGCAAAAATGCTACAAACTCATCTCTCGGGCCAACAGCGCAGAAGCAAACAAATAGTAGCCAGGAATCCAATATAAGCTTTTTACCAGCCACCTTGAAGTGAAAACGTTCAGTTGCGTTTCTCTGACAATATAATAGGAGCTGATAGCTGGAAAGTGCAACACCGTCACCAAGGGGGTACAGGACGGCAGCAGTAGGACATGTCCCTCACGCTGGCCTGCCTGTCCTTTTGAAGCAGAGCACTGACTTCACTTAACCTGTATGCTGGCACATTCCAGTTAATTCTCAGTCTCACAGCCAAAGCCACTAACAAAGTCATCACCTAACACCAGCTGCAGAGCTTTCGGCTCTGCTAATGTTGAGCTCCTCCTGGGAAATGCTCTACAGAAGACACCGTCCGATTAGTGAAGTTATCACATACCACTACTGTGAGCAAGTAGACCACCACCTGCAAATTTTCTTGTACGCTACTGTATAAATACAAAATCATTTCAGTTTTGGACAAACAGCATCTTCTACTGGCTTTTGATTTCTGCACACATAAAGCAAATTTAAGATTTGAGATGCAAGTTTAATAGTAGGCAAGTCAACAATAATGAAAGGAACATCAGAATTATTTTAGTTGCCAGTGCTGGGAGTGAAGATGGTCAGAATTTCAACCTTTTCACTTGGCTTTTGTTTTGTGTTTCCTTCCTCATTTCCACTGAGTAACACCTTTTTCCTTCTTATATTGACAAACCTCTTCCTCATACCAAGTCAATACAGAAATAGTGAGGCCTTGCCTCTAATAAAAAAAAAAAAAGTCATCTTCCGTCTTGTAAGACTTCAGAGATTTTTTTCCATACAATACCACTTTCATTAGCAGTTAGTACAACCTAAACACATTTCATACACCAGTCTCTTTGGCTCTGACAGTTCTGACCATTTTGGAAATTTGTTCCGTGCCTGTAAAGAAGTCTGTGACAAAAAATGGGTAGTTTGAAATCACTCTCTCCTTCACTGCTGTTTCCAGGTAACATCACGTTCAAACCAAAATGAGTACGTTGTCATTTCAGGGTAACTTTGTACTTAAACTGTAGTTAGTGAGGTGGTTAGGTTTTTTCCCAGTTTGTATTCAAAGCTCTTGTTTTGTCTTTACTGCAAAAAACCAGCAGCATAAATGAAAAAGAAAGAACGTAAGCTACTACTAGCAAAAGTTGTCCAGTTATCAATGGCAGAAGGAATTCAATACGAGCATTGTCTAGAAAGAGGAACACAAGATTTTGCCCACATAGCACGTCCTTTATCCAGGTTTTCATTCCTATTGGTTTTTAATTAAATGCTCACATCAATTGGGCAAATATTATTTCACCGGTCATTAGCTACAGACAGAAACACATTTATAACTCCTTGTTGCACCATATATATTCAGTTTGATTAGAAGACATTATTGTAGGATCAGTGCAGGCTTATCTCTCAATGCAAGCACGTTTTATTAACTAGAGTTCACCTACGGAGCCGTGTCAAAGAGACGCTTACTTTTTTTTAAAGGCAGACACTAGCGAAGGGAAAACGGGACGAAGGGAGAATTCCCTACCTCTGCTGGAGCTCATCTGTTTCCCTGGACGCTGCTAAAATTTCCACATCGAGTTTCATTTCCAGTTCGCATGATTCTGGAGAGTGTTTTTTACCTTGAAACTTACCGCTTTATACCGAACAGCAGATATGTTCAAAAACTTCTCATCTCCTTGGGAAGGGCGGCCCGCAGGCTTTTCCTATCCGGCCCTCCGAGGCACTATTTGAAAATAAAGCTCTACCACAGATGATAAGGTGAGAATATATTTATTAGTTATAAAATATACAAATGAACAACACTGGCTTGGTACAACGCCTTAAAAACAATGGCAAGTTTTGGTAACAGTAGTAGGATTTGCCTGGCTGAGGTTGTGCCAGCGACGCCAGAGGATTTAGTCGCGGGGCTCTGCAGTCTCCGCAGAGCTGTGCTGTGAGTGGTCCTGAGATAAAGCCAATTTTGGAGGCTCATCAGCACTACCTGAACAGTGATATTCCTTCAGCTTCAGGGGAACATAATGCTGTAGAGAAGCAGCTTTCTGATAACCAGCATGATTAAGGATTTTAATCCAGGAGGGCTTGGCTTGCCCTTTATAGCCAAGCATAGCAAAACTCCCTGAAAAACAGACACAAAGAGAGTGACCCTCTGGATGGAGGAGTTCACTGATTATCAGCACAGCGTAGGCTCACACCACATGTCGCAGAAACTTCTTAGCCTTTTCTTTCCCCTTAAAATAATAGAACATTTAGGAAACAAAAAGGATGATGAAAGAGGGAATAAGCCTTGCTGAAGCCATAACCTCACTGCATCACAGATCTGCAGTTATTTCAATAAACTAAGATGGATTCCCAGATGTGAGTTAGCAGGAATATTGTTTTACTCTTTATTTTTAAACATTGGTACTTTTTCATATTTGACTACATGAAAATGGTTAGGAGCTTTGAATCCTTCTTTTATTAGTTTACATCAGTTTCTTCCTGCTATGGCTAAACTGTTCCCCATGTCATCTCCATTATGGTTCTCTGCCATCACAAAGTACAAAGGCATTATGTCTTCTTTGATTTTAATAATAATGTCCTGTGTTTATATTATGCTTTTCATTGCAAAGGCTCCCAAGGCTATTTGCAGATGCTTGGATCCAGACTGTTCCTGTAAACACTTTAATTTGAATAAGGTTTTGCAAAACCAGACAAGACTCTCAATCCTGACCCTGCTGGTGTCAAGAGGATCACTTTTTCTGCACTACCTTTGGTAGGAGCAATATGCACTTAGAAGAATTCCTTAACCTTCCCTAAAAGGCAGGCACCCCCAGAGCGGACAACAGCAGCTGCTTTACGCAGTCCTGCATAAAATCATTTTGAAAGCTGTGAAGTCAAATAGTGCGCATACCTGAACCAGCGGGAGAAAGCTAATGAATCAGAACATAATTACCTGGACTGGAAATCAGGGCAGACACACGGATGAAAACGCTTACTCTTACAAAAAGCCTAACAGGAGCAACACACGATCAGCCAGCAGCAGTTTAGTCCAGCACAGTGTCCTCTTATGCCACCCTGAAGCACTGGAGCAAGGAGAAGGCCACCTGCAGCTCCTTGGCTTTTCCCTAGGACTGGGTGTTTTGGCTGGCCGTGCTTGCTCCTTTTTGTGCTCCAGCAGTGGTCAGGGCTGGAGGCAGAATCGAGCTCACAAAACACTCAAAGTGCTGCGTGGAGGCGGGCAGCACAGGTGTTTCAGGGAAAAAAGTTTGACAAAACAAACAAAACAAGATTACTTTTTAATCAAAAAATTCCTTTCAAAAGTATTCAGGGCTTTCATGAAAGAATGAAGAAATGAAGGTTTAGGACAAAAAGAAAAAAAGAAAATCTCAAATTTTTGCTTCTAAAAGGATGAAAGAAAAAACAGCTTCTCAGGAACCAAACAAGCACCAAAGTGAAATCACTGTCTCGGCTGTAAAGAATGCGTTCTGCTCCGCCTGGGACAGTAATAGAAATGAGCTTTAGACCTTGAACCAAAAACTGATGTCAATTTCAGTAAAGCAGAAGTAAAAAAAAGAAAAAAAAATTAAAAAGGAGCTGAAAATACTGCCAATTCCGCATCTAATCTCTGCTTAAGAGATAACAACTAATCCTCATCGAGCTGGCTGGCTGCTCTCCTGGTTTCCTTATCAACTGAATGAGTTATTCCTCCAAACCTGGACTTCCACAACCACCTCTTTTCCAGTAGGCAGCCCAACATGGCAAAGGCAATGTGTGGATCGCAGCTACACGTTCCCTGAGCTTCCACAAGAAATTTAGCTAAATCGATCAGAAACAGGGAGTCCGGACCTGCCAAAAATGCATGCTACTGAAAGGCATTGTGGTGCGCAGTGTGACACACTATGCTCAGAGCGGCTTTGTTGCAGCAAGGACAGACAGACTTTCGACAGGAGCTGCAGACTGCTCCTGGAGGGCAGCACCAGGACTACCGGCGGGCTGTTCAGACCTGAACTGAGTGGCCTTCACTTTCCTTTCGGCCTCAACGGATGTGTGATTGCATCGTTTTGAGACAATACCCCAAATCACTCTAGTAAAAATGTGCTGTCTTCTCACCCGGCAGAGGAGCGGATTGCTGGTTGAATAAAGACTGATCGGGATTGGTTTCCTGCTTTCTGCAAAGATTTTTCAACCTTTCTTGTTTCTTTGAGGATGCAGTGACAACATTTCTAAACCAATGCTCTAAGACTCTGCAATGCAAACCCGCTTGGATTACCTGGACCAATGATACCCATGGATTTCTTTTGGCAATTCAAGGTAGAAACACAATAAGAACTTTCCCAAACTGGTGATTTCACTTTCCTTCCATTCAAAAAAATAAATATTTCCTATTTCACTTCAGGCTATTTTCTTTTTCATCAACCTTTTAGTTTATTATAGTTTTCCCTTGTAAAGCATTTGAAATTTTAGAGATGGAGTCTTTATCAAATGTTTACCAAATGATTTATTTCTCATTGGAAAAACAGGCTCTTTTTAGGATGAAAAATTTGCAGCATGCAGCTTCTTACTGCTGAGTTAGGGTCAAAAACTTAAAATAACTCTCTCCATGAGCCAAGAAGTTTTTACTAGATTACGCTGGTATATTTTATAGTAGCAAATATACTGATAAACACTATGAAAGCTATTGTACATTTTTGCTAAGGAAACACACTTGTAATTTTTTAGGCAAAAAAAAATCAAGACAGCATAAATATAGTTACCTTTTTTGTGGAAGATAATAGGCTTTGCAGAACCTAACCTGGTGAAGACAGACAATCCAGAACTCCTTGCCATTTCTGTAATGTCTCTAGAGCACACAAGAACGAGTGATCTGAAAAGAAGGGCAGGAATTACTGCATGATTGCAAAACGTGACTTTTGTTAAGCATCTCCAAGACCTTTAAGCTCCAATTCAGAAAATGACTTAAGAGCCTGCTCAACTGTAAGGACATGCTTAAATCCCTTTGATTCCAACCACACATAAGGCTCCATAACTTTAAACCTCTGTTTAAATATGTTCCTGAATTAAACATGTGCTTCACACGGAATCAAACACAGTGTGAACGATCGTGTGAAAATGCATCCCCTGTGAGAGAAAGGTACTCCGCTGCAGAAGAAATAGTTACTGTGCAGTCCTGACACCCTGCAACCCTCTATATTCTGGGTCTGATTTTCACTCAGGCCTCAGTCTGACTTTGGTCCTCACAGATGTGCTTTAAGCCCTCAGTGAATTGTACCTGCAACGAATTATACGCACAACCGGTTGCATTTAATTGAACGCCCAGGCCTGCATAGTATGGATACACAGAAGAAAAATCAAGCCAAACGTACAGCCGTCACAGGGATAGGTGTCACTTTATGCACTTTGCATACATATACATGATCATGCGCACAAATAAAGATGTAATAACTCAGGAGCGTTCGAATCGCTGGTCATGAACTGCTCAGAAATGTCTTGGACGGAAAGTCTGTTTTCTGGTTATTTGACCTGCTTCTGTCAGCAGCCAAGAATTTATCTATAAATCTCTGTTGTTGTGTGTTTATGTGGCGACACATAAAACCACCAGGAATGTGGAACAGAGATGATCCCGGCCATTGCCAGCACACATTCAAGGTAACAGAGCCGGCAGGCAGGCAGGCAGGCCTATTCACGGCTTGCCCAGGAAAAATTGTGCTGGCAAACCTGGCACACCTATGATTTGCAACTGCCGAAAGACGCAAAAACAATCACCAAAATAAATAGAAGCCAACTCGTTTCAGAAGTGGAAAACTACACCATCAGCTGCCAGGAAATTGCTGGACATCAACATTAATGGACAGAATTACAAATGTCACCACAAGGAGCTTATCTACCCCATACTGGAAAATGAATTGTTAATGTAGAAGCAATTGCCAATTTTCCAGAAAATCTATCTTTGTCTGCTCTAATCTGTGCAGTCCTGCCAGAGAAACGCTGCTTCTTTTATATCTGGTTGATATTTAATGTTTGAACATATTTAATCTCTGTCAGATTTCTTCAGAGCACAGGTTCAGGTATTAAAATAGGTCATTTTCTTTTCTTTGTCTATCACCCACGTGTTGCTACACGAACTGGGCTTTCAACACTTTGCTTACCTCTCCTTTATAGATGTTTGAACATAATCAGCTATTGAATTGGCAGCATTTTCACGGCTAACTGTGTCAAAGCGCCGCCTACTCAGGACTGCTCCTGAGCATGCATCTAGCACCACGAAGAATATCCCACGGCTATTGAACAGGAAAATTTTATCGTTGATCTGCAACAAAAACAGAGGTAAGTGTTATGGAGGCAGGCAGTACATGACAGGGGAGCTTCAGATTTTGATCCTACTTTTTCATAAGACGGAAGTTACAAGGAAGGAAAATACCAAGCTTTTACATCCTATAATTTCAAATGTGTAGTGAGTACAGATAAAGTGACATCACTTACAGCTGGTGAGTCACAGGAGGCAGGCAAAATCTTATTTCTCCTTGATTCTGGTAAGCCCAATGGGGTATAAAAACATGAGAAATAAGGCCATCTACATCTTTTGTGTATTAAGAAGATAAAGTTGGGAAGTTGAGAATCCCAGGAGTGAATGCTTAGTTTAGTCTTAGTACAGATTCTTTTCATGTGGGTTGAAATTATTGTCACTTAGCAAAGCAGATTCGACAAAGTAGCAAAGGTGCTGGGACAGTGGATGGGGAGTGGAAGCCAAAAAAAAAAAGGAGACTTTTATTTTTCGTAGAAATGTGAGGATCAAAAAGTTTGAAAACTAAAATATTTCTTCTTGGTAGTGCTGTCCCAGCGCCTCAAGGAAGATCTAGCACAAGTGGCTCATGCTCCCTGCCCTTCCTATAGCAAGGGCTCCTTCCTCAGATTACATCTCTCATGATGTACCACAATCTTCACGTTCAGCCGGACAACGGCTCTTTGAGGTGCCCAGCCCTGGTGCATCTCCAGAGCATCCCTGAGGCCAGCCCAGCCAGGGGAACAGACACCACACAACCTCCTCCAAGCCCAGCAATGGTGCGCTGTGGCCAGGCGGTGAGAAACCTCAGCCCGGGGCACGCACCACATACTCCATATAGACTCCAAAGCCCTCAAACACCCAGGAGCTCTAATATGTCCCATTCATTTGGGGCATGTGGATGCCTCCAGGGAACATACAGCCAGAGCGAGCAAGAAAGGGAAGTGTTAAGAAGAGGCTTCTGCAAGATAACGGAGGCTGAACAGGGTGGTGAGTGCCATAGAGGGGCAAGGGTAAGGGAAACAGGAGAGTCTGGGTCATGGTTGGGCAGCAGGGAGTTAGGATGAGGACACGCAGATGGATTAAATCCTCCACCACAGTGCTGCCTGTCCTGGTCCCCTCGGGCTAGGAAGCTGCAGCGTGTCAAATTCTAGATGCCAGCAGGGCACAGAGCAACGACCTGCACGTGAGCAACTGGCAAAAAACCCGTCCGCTGCATGCCTGCCTCCCCATTGCATGCTCCTGACGCCTGCTCTGCACCATCCCATGCCTTGGGTGCTGCACCAGCAGCAGGACAGGCCACCGTGAGGGGCTTTGGCCACCTGGGGCAGCTCCCCACCACCCCGCAGCCGCACGAGCCCTTGTACTAGCATGTGGGAACATGTGGCTGAGGGCAGGATGAGGGAGGGTAGGTTTGTCCCTCCCTCTCCTTAAAAATAAAAGTAATTCCAGCCTTGTGGAAACCTGGTTTATAAACTTAAAATGTTTTTTGAGATTTGAGTTTCATTTGGCAAAACATGAACAAAACACCTGCCTCGGCAGTGCAGGGCTTCTCGCCTTCATTCCCTTCTTTCTGTATTTCCTCAGTCTTCTAAGGTTTAGGGTAAGAATCCTCTTTCAGACACTAATCCTTACTGTTTGCCTAGCCTCACCTTTAATTCTGCTAAGAGTACATGTGTCTGAAATAAAACTTCATTTGGAAAACAATGGTTTGAATTAAAGCTTTGGAAATGCAAAGAGGCTTTGTGGATCCCCCTGGTTTTGCCACCCTCGCGGACCAGGCTACGCTATGAACACAGAGCCTGTGAGCGCTGCGCACGCACGGGTCTTTGCAACTCCCCGCAGGTAAGGAGGACGCTTCCTCAAATAACTCCTACTTGCTAATGGTTTTGAATTAACTTTTGACAATGCAGCCAGTGCACACGGCAAGAAATTTTGGCTGCTCCGATTCCTTAAGGACGCTGTACTAGCTTTGCTTGGCATCTGTTAGCGATGACTACAATTCAGTAGCGTACAGGCTTGTTAACCTGGATAGTGTCCTGGCAAACTTGGTTCCAGGCTTTTCACTCTTCTCCATCTAGGCAGACATGTCAGGGATGTGCAGGGACAACCTGACAACTCCAAACTCTTTCAGTAGTGAAAATAGAGTTAATTTTATTTTTTAGTGCAGTGCAGCAAAGAGAAGCAGAAAAACAAACTTGTTTTTTTCCCCCTAGGTCCTTTGTAAACAGTGACTTTGGTGTGCTTTTTTTTCCCTCATTCCTCTATATTAGAGTGGTGGCGTTAATTCTTCTTTTGAGGTGATAAAAGGCGCTTTTTTTCCCTAAGGGCTCAAACCCTCATCTGAATAGAATATGAGCTCCTAGCGGCTTTAATGGAGCTAATTATAGAGCAGAACAATGTAGCTGGATCTTCCAGTGGAACATCCCATTTCCTCGGCAAGGTTTTGCAATAACTTTCTTTGGAGATAGTTTCCCCTGTTTAATCACCGTTTCAAACGTGGTAAAACACGTACCTTAATGAACGCAGACGTCGAGTGGTTTTGTATGTCAGCCGTGCTGCGAGACTGGATCTGTATTCTTACATACTTGACTGAGGGTTTGCTAGTGATAGCAAGCTGCAATTACGTGAAAGACAGAAATTAAAAATCGCTTGCTAACTAGTTTTCATCACGCAAAATGACATCAAGTACAGAGGTTCATACGCATGAATGCAAAACTTTAAGAATTCACTTTTTCAGATTACGGTCCTTGTTCACATGTAAGTGCTCCTTTACAAGACAGCTTTTATCAAGGAATCATGGCAGTGTTGGTTGGCAAGGACCTCTGGAGGTCATGTAGTCCACTCTCACACAAAATAAGTTACCAAGCTGAACATGAATTTCAGCTATTTTGCCTGGCTATAAAATTGGTACGAGCCTGAAACAATTCTACAGGGTTTACACCCTCTACACCCTTCCCTCTACGTTACGTGATGCTGGTCAGGCTCACAAGCAAGTGGGAGTTCCCTAAGACCTCCATGAACACGAGGAAATGAATTGACTTTATGCAGACGCACATACGGTGCACAACCTAGATGCTGCTTGACGCAGCAAAGCAAGCTCCCAGGCGGTACCTGAGGGGCCCCGCAGGCCCTGCACGGCCCGGCCAGCCGCTGCGACACGGGGCGCCGGGGAGCTGCCTGCCGGCCGCTACGCTCCAGGAACGGGTTTGGGGCACAGCGCCAGGAGTCCCCCGCTGACATCTCTGCCACGATTTTAACACGTTCGCAGCCTTGCTCAGAGCAATAGCTGTGTCCTTCTCGAGCTTCGTGGGCTTGCAGGTGAACAAACAGGTACCTACAAACAAGAGCGTATGGAGGGATCAAAGCTGCTGTGTGTTTAGAGGCAAACCTGACCAGGGCAGGGTCTGCACTTGCTAAATTGCATTAACCCTCCCATTTCCCAGCATCACAGCGTAACTCCGTCTTACAGTTGTGTAGCGCAGCACTCGAGGAAGCTGTGCTTGCAAAAGGAGCCCTGGGAGGATGCAGGGAGAGCTCCCCTCTCCTCCTGGCACGCCAACACCAGCGGCGCTTGCTGTGTGCCCCGTGCACGCCTGGATGCCCAAGTCAGCCACCTTGGCCGGGCCAGCTCGGCCAGGGGCTGTCCCCACCCCACGCTGTCACCAAAGCACGGGAGCACCCTGCTACAGCTGGGCCTTGGTGCTCACCGTTTCACGCAAAGGGAGACCGACTCGCCTGGGAACATCAGCATCTCCCAACGTGGTGCTGCACCGGATGGTCCTGTCGCGCAGGCACAGCCTAGCCCTAAGCATGCACGACAAACGCTCACAGGCAGCCAGATCCTCTGGCCTTTCGAGTTCATTTTTTCTAGCTGTTTAAGCTGTTTTCGGTTCTGTCCAATTTGTAATTCAGGCCAAGGAAATTACATAAACAGCTCAGCTCGGCTTCGGGATCAAAAAGATGCCTGAGCTTTAAAGACATTTTTCTTTCTTTTCCTTTTAAAAATAAATATTTGTTTCTATTTTCTGGAAGCCAGAATGAGTAAGCTTGGTTCCTCACCAAGGACCCAGCACGTGGGGTTAAATAAAGAAGGGGAAACATCCCACTTATTATGAAATCACATCTAAAAAACAACAACAGGAAAAGAAAAAAAAGCCAATCTCCTAACTTCTATCCCCTGAAAGGCTAAAAAAAGCAATGCTGAATTAAACAAAGAAGCAAAAGGCTGATGCTGCCAGATTTAAGCTAGGTTAGCCTAGCACATATCTGCACATACCAGGTCCAGATGGCTGCTGGCAGTTCATGGCTCTGCCCCCGCAGCCCCACGCATGTAACTCTTTTCCCCGCTCTTCACTAGTAAACAACCTGGTTACAGAATTTGGGTGACATTTTATTTCCAAAAAAAAAAAGGGGGGGGGATTAATTAGCAAACTGTTGTTTCACAATTCGTATCATGAGAGAGACTTGCCTATCACGAAGGCCTGGTGAGCAAGGAAGGCATTCCGGGATTGGATTGCTCATTTGTTATGACTGACTGAATAAATATACCCCGCCTTATTTTAAAATCTGGCATTTGTGGATTGATTTCCGAAGGAGCTGTTTAGTTAGGTAAAGCATCATGAGACCCATGGTTAAACCACAAAAACACTTTTTTCCTCCCCAACTATTTCAGCTGACCGAGAAACACAGTTTCGTAATATGTTTTTTCAACCAAAGGTGTTCTAGATTCTGTCAAGGGTAGCATTACTATTACTCATTTTTGGTACTGTGCTGCATCTAGAGTTCCCAGTGATAAGCCCCAAAGATAGGTAAATAACTAGATACCTAAATAAACGCACATTCGCTCCTCTGAAAAGCTGAGGATAAAGCGAGTCGGCACCAGCTGCAGCCCCGCTGCATGCTCACGTCTCCTGCAACGGGCAAATCTGGCCGGGAGGAGGCTTTGGCCCTGCTCGAAGGTGGTGACACAGGTCCCATGGGAGAACGGAGGGCAGAGTACTTGAGCAACCTGACTCCCGCTGACTTGCACGCAGTCACACACCGCGATAGTGCATTCGGGGCTTAATGCAGTTGTGGCACCTACCAGAGACCCATACAGGGGATTTGGGGACAGAAGTGGATCTTTTCTACCCCAAGAATTTCCTTAAATATTACTTGAGGGGCAACTGGTGCATGTTCTCTGGGACTCACTTTAGGACTTCAAAATAAGAGATGCACTAAGATACTGTCCTTTTTTTAAACAAATTCTTTTTAGAGTCTTAATTTAAAAAGTCTATTTTCAATATGAAGCAGCTGAAATTTCCCAAACTATCTCCATGTTGGAGTCATGAGAGGGCTCTTTGTCATGGTCCTTTGGGATGAATGGATTTTACTGAATATTTAAATCACACCTACAACTCCAGCAATGTGAACACCAGCAGCCGAGATGCCTCAAAAGCAGAGGAAGCCGGCAGGAAAAAAGACATTTTCTTAACAGCAATGCAAGGCACTGCTCAGTGGTACAGAGGTAGACCTAAACCAGAGGCTCCAGTCTGCAACTGCATTTTGGTCTGAAATCCAGTGAGAGGAGCATGTGAGATGGCCACACCAAATTTTAACTAGGAGAGAGGGAGAGGAGGTGCTGGGGCAGACGAGGAGGATCCCCAGCGCTGGCTGCATGGCTCCACTCACCCTGATGCCCGGTTGAAGTAGAAGACCCTCTCACTGGTGCCTCTGAGAGCGCCGTCCTGGGAGGCAGCCGCCGTGTAGTGCTTTACGCTGTGCACTGTCCCTGTCCGCCGCTGGTAGACATCCGCCACCACGTGGAAAATGGCTTCCCGGGGATAACAGAGGGCAATATGCAGCCAGTCTCCTCTGTCAGAGGAAAAGGGGAGGCAGAGGGAAAGAGAAAAAAACACTTCAGAGGCTGCAAACAGGAGAGATGGTCTTTAGCCATGAGTTTAATCATCAGGGGAAAAACAAAGAAATGCCCTTTGAGGTTCTCCTCCTCCTTAAAAGAAAAAAAAAAGTCTCAAAGCCAAAGAAAAGCAGTGTTTTATTTTCTTTGTCTGGAAACAACAGCTGCTTATTACGAGACACGTGATCCAGAGACCCTAACTGACCTCGGAGGACTCCGAGTCAGGTGCCAGGACTGCTTAAATCTGGAGACTTTCTCGCCGGTCCCCTAAGGCTGAGGCATGACTAGCTGCATATCCACGACCATCTCCTGCGGCACCCTGGGCTTGTTTCAGTGCATCCAGAGCTGCTGCAGGAGAGGGAATCAGGATCCAGCAGATATTTCACCAGGGGCACAGATTCAGGAATTATAGAGTAATCTCTGACTTGAACTAGAGCCACGATTTAGAGAGACCTGCTTCCTCCACTTTACAGCAAAGTTTATTATTATGGTTTCCATTAAAATCTGTCTCTCCTCCACTCTCTCTTCAACATTGGTTTAGAATAACTAAGACCAAAGTTAAAAGGTCTTTTAACTCTTGTCTACCACAATTTCGGCATGCATGTTTGCATCAGCTGAACAATTGCCCCTATGGCTTTCCTTTACCCTCTCATTTGCGTTACCACCCTCGCCGAGATGAAAAACGGCTCCAGACTATAAAGCTACGTTACAAGGAGCAGAGACAAAGATGTTGATATGGTGCAATTTCAACACCGATGGGAAGGATCTTCCACAAAATCCTGACGCCTTGTCCTTCCTATGTGAGGCACTCTGCCAGGAGAGCGCTCCCTATGGCTACCAAACAAAGCAGAAAGCCACAGGAAGGTTACCCTTGGAAACAAAACTTGAATACTAAGATAATTAGTTTAATTATTTTTTTCTTTTCAGCCTCTGAAGTGGCTCAGTGTGCCCCATGCAGGTATCTGAACCTGTGGCTAACCTTCCTTACATTACCAAAAGCCATCCAGGCTTTAAATGTACCCTTTTAATTACCTAGTTTCCTGGTTAAAATATGAGAATATAAATTTGGTGTAGAGATAGACAAACAAAACTTCCATCGGCTGTCTTTCTGGGTCCTACAAGGCTATGGGAGACAAGGTTTCTCCAAAGGCTCCACTGAAATGACCCATCATCCATCCTCGCACAGGGAGCAACGAAAGGGGGGGAAATCCCTTGATTTGGAGACATCTGGGAGCCTACATGCCTAGACCTCTACTTTGCATTATGCATGAACAGCACAAGAGCAAAGCTCTCTCTGTCTTCTTCTGTTTTTCTCATTAAAACAAAAGAAAACAATATCTACAGAATGGAAGAGGGGACAGGCTGTTCTAGAATAATAAATCAAAGCTGTCCAAAGACCCATCGGCTTAAGCCAAATACTGCCCTCTAGATTTTTTAAGCAACTCCAGCTGTGTCATAACACAGGACAGCTAGAAACGGATATATTTTCAGATGATTTGGCCTCTGACTAGAGGAAATGAAAGAAATGCACCGGAGCCATGTTTGTAGAATATTTTTAGGACAGAGTCCCAGGACATTCAGCTGTTTCATAAGGGTGATTTGCAGTGCGTTAGCACATTTCATCTCCTGAAGACACTGTCACAAAAAGACCTCGTCATCTCCCTCAAACGCTGGGAACCAACTTCAGCACAGCGTTACGCGGACTGGCACCTCCCCAGGGAACACGATAGGCAGTAGAAAAGAAAATTGTAGGATGAAGAAAAAAAGCGTGAAAAAACCACAGCTGTGACTGTCTTGAGTTGCTGGGCGCTTGGGAATATGATTGCTAGAGCCTATTGTGCATGTGAGCAGACTGAGTGAAATACTGAAATAAATTATATCAAGAAGAGAAGAGCAAATGAAAAGCACCTACTTTGGAGTTTGTGGAGGAAGAGATGGGAACAAGCACCTTCCCACAACAAAGGGTTTGGAAGGGGAAGTCAGATAAGAAGGTATTAGCAGTTATCCTTTACGTAAAGACAGAAAAGAATAAGGTGATTGTTTTCTCCCTAACTTAGCAGTATTAAACAGCTTCCTGTTTAATTCTTTACTTCAGTTTTGTTTCTTCAGCTTCTGCAGAAGCCGTTGTAAACCCTCTGCCATATACCTGGTGGTGCTGCTGAACTGGGCTCCGCTATATCTAGGAAAAGCAAAGCAAGAAGCAATAGGTCTACTGAGAGATGGTCTGCAGGACTCTGCCTGGCATCTGGCAACCAGATAGGGCTCAGTTGTCTTTTTTCCAGTCATTGCCAAAACCAAAGGAGAAACGCAACCTCAGGCTAGGAGCTGTAATCAGGCATGGAAGGTTTGACGACTGCGTTCAAAGGGGAACAGAAGTACGCGTGCCTTCCTCGGCCGCTGCGCTGGCCTCAGAGGACCTTCTGGCTGGATCTCAGGTGCAGAAAGTCTCTCTTTTTCTGAGATTGGTCAATTAACTGTGGCTCCTCCTTTATTTCTGTACTTAAACCTCTCCGTTCTGTCTTCTCTTCCACCTGCTCCTTTGGGGTGAATATTTGCAGACAGAGAAAGAAAAATTTAACCTATCCTAAATGCCTCGTAAGTACAGAAGTCCATGTCCTGCCGCTTTGAGTGCCAGCATAATGTCACTTGGGATCTTCATGGGTGGCTGGGGGACTTAGGAACACAAGTTGCACTACCTGTCACTTTTGGAGGCATCTCTATTTTCAAGAAGAAAAAACATTGAATTCATAATATATCCCAAACTATGAATTCAGAGTAATTTCACACCCTTACCTGAGTCCCCTGGGAGCATCTGTAGCTTTACCTTCTCTTATGCTCAAAGACTAGCACAAACAAAAGGGGAAAATCATTAAAAACACAAGGGGCAGGAGCCACACTAAGCAACATACAAAATACCGTCAAATGTAGCAATAACCAAGACTTTTCTTTCTTTCATTCTCAGGCATTGCTTGGAAAAAAACCAAAAATACGCTCAGGTGAAACTTTTGAAATAGCTGTCACCTAAAGTGAAAGTCATATTTGCATGTATAGAAAACTAATGAATTGTTTAACATGTTTTTATCCCAAAATGAAGTAAGTGTATTCACAATCTTTTCTAGTGATAAAAGTTCAGCTTATTTTAGACATAAGGAATATGTTTCTTTCATTTTTTTCTTGTTTGCTTTTAATCAGGCCAGTATTTTCCTGTGTGTTTTTACCAAAAAGACTGGCATTTGAGGAAGCAAAACTAAATATATGCTAGCACAAAGTCACTGTTCAACAAGTCGTACCAGTTTCAAATACCACTGAAAATGTTAAAGGGTCTGCTGAAATCAGCCTGTATCAAACCTGACACTTCTGCCCCTCTGTTACTGTCATTCAGCAATCCACAGAGTGTGTTCCATGTATTTTCATGAACTTATTTAGCCTGTTTTTTTCCTTTTGGAGATGACTGGGTGAAACAAACCCAAGAACCCATTCCTTTTTCACCAGGATATTGACATTTGCAGTTCCGGCTCCTTCAGGTGAAGCAAAAATACCAAACAAAATATTAAAAAAGTATCCTTGTGTTTTGGTAGTGACCAATCTTCCTGGGATAACTGAAAGCGAAAAAAAAGGAAGAGGGGAAAGAGAAAAAAGCAGGCAAGAGGTTTCCTGTGCTTGGACATATGACAGATACATGTCTGCACGTACACACCTACCTATGTCATTTATAGTTCTCAAAACAACCCCTTTGGTTAAACCCCAAACTTCCAAAAGCAAAGACGTGCAAAGAAAGGTGATGAAGGCAAAGGAGGAAAGGAGACTCCTGTGAGTGGTGGGATCTGAAGTGAGTCACACAACTTGGCAATGGGATCTGGCTACAGTAAACCTAGCAAGAGCATGTGTCTGGGACTCCTCTCTCCAGGGAGAGGACCAGTAAACACTAGTTAAATATTGTGAATGTGTCCCTTGACTGTCTAGGATGGAGCATCAACCCTGGGAAAATGGGCATGATCTGGTGCTGGGGTTGCTGGTTATACTGGACAGCTATCCTAGCTGTGTTTTAGCCAAAGGAACTTCTAAGCTGATGAATATTATTCTAGAAAACAACTCCCACCACGTTTGTTGACATGGTGCGTCACGTAGCTGATGACCATGGAAGTGCAGAGTCCAAATCCTGATCTCACTGATGAAAATCTGGGGTAAGTCAGTGAGGGAATGCAGCAGGGTACAACTGAAAAATTACTTATTTTTTCCTTGGGCTTGAAAAAACAAGAGACTCTCACCCAGTGAGTCAGTTTCCCCCAACTGTTATTACTCCTATTTAAAAACAATTGCTCTGATGTTTTGGTCAGACCTATGTGGGTCGATTTTTTCAAAGGGAATGAGACAACTGAGAATTTGAAGCTTTCCCTTTCATAAAATGGGAAGCAAGCATAAGTCCTCATGTGCAGCTTCTGTAAGTTTGTCTCTCACAGACCGAAATTTGTACTTCAAAAGGCAAAAAAAGCAAAGGTCACCATACAGCCTCCAGCCTGTGCCAAGACAAATCACAAATGGTCACTGCTCCACGCTCTCAAGGAGAACACAGCTGTGATTTTTCCTCTCCAAAAACATCTCTCAATCTCAGGAGAATGTGCCCCATGCCAGGCAGAATCTCCTCTGGCACAAAACTCTCATTCAACAAGCCACCTCTGGCCAAACCAGCATCCCTGTTCGACCTGGGGAAAAAGGAGTGGGAAATACCTACACGTCCCACTGCTGCTGAGACGGCACAAATGGCTGCAAGGAGCCAGGATCACGTCCTCGCCACCCTCTCCCGATCCAAGCCCTGTTCCTTGAGTCCCCACTTCCCACCAGCTCGCCGGCGCTGTCACTCACTCCTGCTCTTTTGCTACATGGCTTTTTAAGGTTCTGCCTTCAACTCAAGTCCATTAAACACATCCAAACTCCAGCGATGACAAATACAGCTACT